GCTGGTTCACCTTCCGGATCAACCTGCTGGGCGCCGTGTTCTCGACCGTGACCGCCCTGGCCGTCGTCAACCGCGCGGACATCACCGGCGCGATGGCCGGCTTCGCGCTCGTCTTCACCAACCACCTCTCCTTCGCCCTGGTCTCGCTCAGCCGTGCCTACTCGATCCTAGAAATGGACCTCAACGCCGTCGAGCGCATCCTCGAGTACTCCGACCTTCCCACCGAGGAGCCACCCTCCCCCAGCCCAAGAAACATCCCTCCCCCCGAATGGCCCCAAACCGGAACCATAACCATAACGAACCTAACAGCCTCCTACACCCCAACCACCCCACCCGTCCTCCACAACATAAACCTGCACATCCCCTCCGGCCAACGAATCGGGATCGTCGGCCGCACCGGCGCCGGCAAATCCAGCCTCGCGCTGGCCCTCTTCCGCTTCCTGGACCCCTCCCCCTACTCATCCCTCGCCAGCACCAGCAGCGCGAGCAACGCAAGCAACGGCCGCATCACCATCTCCAACCTCGACATCGCCACCATCCCACTAGCCACCCTCCGCTCCCGCATGGCCATGATTCCGCAGAACCCCGTGCTTTTCACCGGCACGATCCGCTCGAACCTCGATCCGTTCGACGAGCACACCGACGACGCCGTGCTGCGCGCGTTGCAGCACGTCCATTGGTCTTCCTCCTCATCGTCGACCTGTTTGCATCCGCAGGGCAATCCGCAGGGCTGTCTGCGGGACAGGGGCAATGTACTGGGGGAGAGGGTATCGCCCGGGGGAACGAACTTCTCGCACGGCCAGCGGCAGCTCCTGTGTCTGGCGCGTGCGATGCTGGCTTGTCCGGCGGTGGTGGTTATGGACGAGGCTACTTCGGCTGTGGATCGGGGGACGGATGAGATGATTCAGCGGGGGATTCGGGAGGGGGTTCTGGGTAGTCGGCGGACCAGTAGTAGCAGTGGCGGGAGGACAGGCAGTGGGAGCAGTGGCAGCCGGACAACGTTGCTGGTGATTGCGCATCGGCTACGCACGATCGCCGACTTTGATAGGGTGGTTGTTATGGATGCGGGGCGGGTGGTGGAGTTTGGCACGCCGAGGGAGTTGTTGGCGAGGGAGGGGGGTGTGTTTCGCGGGTTGGTGGAGGGGGATGTTGATGCGAGGGAGTTGAGGAGGGTTATTACTGGAGCTGAGAGTTAGGGAATGTGTCTGGTGTGAGTGCTGTTGGTAATAAGGGTGGATTTGATGTCGGTTTTCACTACGTCATTGTAGACACGCATTAGATAGAAACGATTCATTCGGGGTTATATCTTTCAGAACTTCTCCTAGAACCACATCCGACGTAGCACCACTACACGCTCAACGTCAACGCCCCCGTAAGCGGCAGATCCCGACTCGACCTCCCCACATACACCTGGTACTCGCCCGTCTGCAGCTCCCACGCCTGCGCCTCGACATTCCACGTACTCAGGTCGCGCCGCGTCAGAGAGAACGAGACAGCAACCGTCTCGCCCACAGGGACATTGACCTTGTCAAACCCACGCAGCTGCCGAACCGGCCCATTGGGGATCCCCACGTACAGCTGCGCGACCTCCGCCCCGTCCACATTCCCGGAGTTCTGCACCTGCGCCGTGACGTTGGCGAGCACATCCCATAGACGCGGGTTGCCTCCTTCCTGAATTCCGGCTGATGGTGGGTACTGTGTCGCCGCGACAGATGTCCTCTGGATGTCCAGCCCGGAATAATTGAAGGTGGTATACGAGAGGCCGAAACCGAACTCAAACTGCGGGGTGATGTTCTCCTTGTCGAAGGCGCGGTAGTCGATGTAGACGCCTTCGGTGAAGTCGTCCTGTGGGAAGAGGCCGTACGGCGCCACAGGCTGAGCCGGGTGCAAGATCGCCCCGTAGTCGGATGCCTGTTTGGCGACCGTGTAGGGCAGTCGGCCGGAGGGGTTAGCACGGCCGTACAGCAAGTCGACGACAGCTGTGCCCGTGTCTTGACCAGGAAGGTGGGCAAGAATCACGGCGGTGACGTTGGCGTGGTCGATCCAATCGTAAACGAGGCGTATACCCGCGTTGTGGATCACAACAATCGTGTTGTTGCATTTGTTGGCGACGTTGGTCACGAGCGTGTCGCTGTCCGCGTCAACGAGACCGGGTCGGTCGCCGCCTTCGGACGCGTAGCTGTTGATGAAGACCAGGCAGGCGGAGGAGGCGGGATCGACGTCCGGGTCATTGGAGCTCACGTCCCACAGGACAGCGGTGTTGTCTTCATAGGCTTGTTGTTGAATAGCGTCAAGAGGCGCGATGATATAGGCTGGGCTGTTGGAGCCGGAGCCGCCTCCAACCCACAGGGTGTAGTTCTGGATGGCCGGCATGACACTGTCGAATGAAAGGGTTAAGCTAGTGGACTCGGGGGCTTTGGCATCGTATCCAAACACGGAGACTAGGCGGGGTGATTGGAGGGGTAGCGCAGAGTTCTCGTTCTTGACAAGAACATGGCCCTCGATTGCGCTCTGGAGTAGAGCGTCTTTCTCGTCGGCAGATGTTCCGATGACAACTTCGTGCTCGGAGTAGACGTCTTCGGGCATGCCGATGCCAGGAGAGGGGAAGTCGGTGTCTTGGTTCATTTGATACCAGGAGGCGATGATTCTGACTGGGTTAGTGAGAAAGCAATTAGTAAAGGTGGCCTGACTTACCTGGTAACCATGTCGTCGAGCCTTGATGCTTCCAAACTACCATTGGCAATGGCCGTGGTGAGATTAGAGCCCCACGTGGTGGTACTTGGCATGACCATGTCCAGCCCGGCATTCGCACCAGCAATCCCGGCGTGTTGGGCACCCCAGTCAGTGACAACGTAGCCTTCTGCGTATTAGTATCGGTGTCCAGTAGTGGTAATCTAAGTTTCTTACCTTGGAAACCTAGTTCGGTCTTCAATAGCCCGTTGAGCGTCTTGCTGTTCTGACAGGCATAGGAGTTGTTAACCCGGTTGTACGAGCACATGACTGAGACACTGCCCGCCAGCACGGCATCTTGGAAGGGCCAGAGGTAGAGTTCATGGATGGTCTTATCATCGATATTCGAGGAAACCGAGGCAACAGTGACTCCATTCTCTGTCTCGGGGTTTCTGTTGGTCTCTTGCTCGTTTCCGATGTAGTGCTTTGAGTGTGTTAATCAGTATCACTCGCGGTGAGATAAAGCAGTAAGGAGAGTATACAAACCTTCACAGAGACACCAACACCGGCCTCCTGCACACCTTGGACTGTCTCATACACTAGCGCCCCGCTGAGATAGGGATCAGTGGAGAAGCCTTCCCAGTTCCGTCCGCCTTCCGCGACACGACCGATGGGGCCCACCACAGGGCCCAGCAGAAGGTTAACACCCTTTCGATGAAACTCTTGTCCCATGTACAGAGCCCGTTGATGAGCAAGAGTTTTGTTCCAGCTAGAAGCGAGGAATTGGCAAGGATGTTCAACAAATTCGAAGACTGCTGTAGCATGCGTACCTTGCTCCAACATGAATGCCACTGGCCCAGCCATTCACGAAGTCCGTTCCGCGCTGTATATGGCTTTTAGAAAAGACAACTCCAATCTTATATGGGTCCACATACCAGCCCATTCCCCGCATCCGACACACAATAGCCAGGAAAGCCTAGGCGGGAGACTGCTGGAATATTGCCTGAGCACCCATTGCTGGCACTGTAGCCTGCCGTGAAGTTGACCTTCTCCTCGTCTGTGAGCTGGGCGACAAAACTCTTTGCTTTCTCGTAGGCTGCAGCCCATGCACCGGTACCGGTACCCTCGGCTGAACGGTCTACGTAAGCAGTGAATGACAAATGAGAAGATCATGAGAGAACATACGGGAGGGGTAGAATGGGGGAGAATCGCCGTAGAAGTAGGTATCGCTGGTGATATTCTGCTCAGTTGGTGCGGCGGAGCAAAGAGAAAGACCGCCCAAGAGGGCGATCAAGGATCTTAAGCTGTGCATTCTGCTGCCTCTGTGTTGCCTGCGCTGTCTGTCTCTACACTCTATCTCCCAGCGACTTCATGGTGGTATTTATCTCCAAGCCGGACTTCCCCCGCAAGGTGAACAGATGGAAAAGCATATGTCAGGACCCAAGCAACTCCGGATGTCCCGCACCCATTGCCTGACTTGCGGGTAAATATCGGCGAATAAACCTGAACTCTACATGATCATGACGGTCATGCGCAGGCTATAGCAGAGGTCAATACTGTGGGTGAGTGAGGAGTAGATACTTAGGCAGATGGCTATGGGGTGAGTGCCGGCTCACGAGTCAGTCACCGGATATTGACCCCCACATGCCGTTCCTCAGCAATCCGGGGTTGTCCCACTAGCCCCACAATGACCGGGATGGCAGGCTAGACAACCAGTCCGGAGGAAGTCCGCGCAATAGGAACAGCGAGAGAACCATGCGTGACGTGATGCAACCCCGCATTTATTCCCCAGAACTCTGGACGTGATTAATGCAGGGCATTGACCCCTGCTGGTCGGGGTTTGTGGCAGTATGTGCACAACAAAACACAAGGATAGCCGGCATTTGTGTTCCCCGATTGTTGTATCCTAACCTTTGTAGACTGGTTGAGCACTCCAGGAACAAAGTGCTGACAAGCAACAAGTGACAGACCTTGGCTGTTCTCTTGGTCAAATGAATGAAGCATCATGTCATCCGCACGGACTTGGCTGGCTGAAGCTTGTTGGCAACTTGGGTAGACTTGGGGTTCGGGGCATGGTCCACCGAAAGTAATCCTTCCTTAGCTCAGTCTTCGGCCAGAGAAGTCGGCAAGTAGAAGAGGGGGTGCCCATTTGTGACTGGGGAAGATGTCGTCTTCAGGAAACTCGAGCCTAACCGGTTGTATTGGGCCGTGTGCTCCTCATTGCCAAGGCGGCTAGAGTGAGGTCGGTGAGGAAAACGCATCATGCGGGGTATGTCGCTGCTCTATAATAGCAGGAGTTGAAAGAACGCAAAGTAGTAATCCTAGCAAACCTCTGCAAGGTCCAAAAGTAGCATCCAAGCCGACACTCTCCGTCGCCAGAGCCCGCTCAGAATAGATTACTCGGGACACTGTTCAACCACGACATATCCTGAAAGTCCAACAGATCAATGCCATCAAACAAGCCACTATTAAATCCCTCCCCAAGCGACACATCTCCGAAACCATTCGACATGGAAGATCCAGTTTGGACGGCTTGGGCGGGCAGCTCCTGATCCGTTGAACGGCCCTCCGACACAACGCGCTCATACAGTATCTCTAGCGCAGCAACACATCGACGCGCGGAGGTGCTGTAGCTGTGATATCTGCGAAGGATCTCGAGGGCATGGTCCCAGCTTTCGGTTATGGCGGGCTCAGTGACTTCTTCCAGGATGGCTGGGCAGAGGCGGCCGGCAATTAGAACGGTGGCAGCTGTGTAGACGTCTTTTCCAGTCAGACTAGAGAACTTGAGAACTCTCTCCAAAGTATCTGCAAAACAAGAAGGAAAATTGGTAAGGGTTCGGATGCTCACAGAGAATGTTATACCACCACGCAGGAAGTGGACCGGCCGATCCGTCGGCGGGAATGTGACCGTGGATCAGGCCAATGACCTCCTGTGCAACTTTGACGCAGATAATAGAGCACTGGAGTGCTATACGCTGGGGGAATGAATCTTGAAGACAAATGAGGGGGTCGGCGACTCCGATGTCGCGGGAGGTACAGTATTTGGACAGAATGGGTCGGAAGAGAAGCATGCGCACATGGAGGAACCTAGCGACTCGAGTTCAACAGATGTCTTTCGCGATCGAAATCGAGAAACCTTACCGTGCTCGTAGTACAACGCTCTGATGGTAGAACATTTTGTCGCCGTAGGCGAGAGAAGCGTCACCTCGCAAGTGCTCTGGTAAGGTTCGTGACCATTTGGTGAGCGCTCGGTCCAATTCGAACATCGTATGACCACCCTCCGTGGTCTGTTTGTTGAAATAAAAATCGTAAACATCTTCCGGGCTTTCATCCGGATTAGGATTGTACAGGCTGAGAAGAATATCATTCAGAATTTCGTAGAGCTCCAAAGACTTGGCATAAAATGCCATCACGGAAGGTCGACCAGCCGGTTGGATTATGGCGGTGCCTGCAGAGGGTATATACTCTTCGTCAACAGTCGCTGGTAGCGGTACGGAGCCACCGGACGCTTTAGCTATCATGGAGGGGCGACCGAAAGTCATGGAAATTACCCTAGAACTCGTCTAGCTTCTGTGAACGGGAAAAGAGGCGGGGCTGTTCTTACCTGTCCATCAACACGCATCCGTGCCAGATCTTCCGGGCCAGCTGCTTCTCCTGAGGATTACGTAGACGAGCACTAGTCTGCGGAAGATGTAGTCCCAGACTCTGTGCATTTCGAATGGCCAACCCAGTGACGATCCAGCACTGATGAGCGGAGTCCGTGCTTTGGAGATACTGGGCCATGAGCAGCAAGCACTGAATGAGCTCTGCGGAGCCTGTATTCCACAAATTGAATTGAAGAAGATCTTTGGCGCGAGAGAAAAATGCATCTGCCGACGCCTCCCGCTCTTCGGGTGGAATGAAGTCAGCTAGCTGGCAGGCCAATGCAAAGATCACATTGAAAGTGCACATCAGCATATTCTCGTCCGAGTGAGAAGGCTCTCCAGTCCAGAGCCTTGAATATTCAGCTCGTAGATTCAGACTATCTATGAGGGGATAAAGAGGAAAGACAAAGGTCCAGTAAACCTCCATCAGGCTGTCTGCCGTTTTCCGAGGCGGAAGGACGTAGTTAGAAATTGTAGACGGACGCTGTATGCGCGAGGACTTCAGCCCGGACGAGGATGCCGCTCCGAGGATCGAGTCGGATGTTCCACGATATGGTGACGGGACCCTTTGGTCAATGGCGGTTCTGATTTGTCGGATGAAGCTGGCAGCACTGGAGCTTCCAAAGAAGCCTTGGGCTAGCCGCTCTTCTTCCACCTCGCCCATCATTGCGTTCACGCCATCCGTATGCTGTCTTGGGGTTTGCCGGTTGTCAGGAGTCGTATCCTGGCACACTCTATCCTTGTGCATACAGATCGATGCAGCGTCCGGGGTTTGTTCGCATTGGAGACATGGCGAAAGAGATCTACCCGCGCTATCAGCGACGACTGATGTGGTTGGGAGATGCTGTCGATGACTCGTGGAGGGTGGAGCGACTGCACTCGACGTTGGCGTTTGAAGCGGACTTGGTAATCGAGTCTAAGATTCAGAAGAGTTACTCTGTGAGTCCTTTTATGATAACGTCTTAGGACCCCAGACTCGGAGACGAGATCATTCATGCCAACACGGCTTACCTGCGGAGACTCTGCGCCCAATGATTGAGTACTACCCACCTGTGCCCTCCCGGGGTTTTCGAGAAGCTTTAACCGATTCTCAAGGCCTTTGACATAGCTTTCCAGAGCAATGTCAGCAGATGATGATTCAATTTATGCCTGAGCTACAAGGCAGGATACAAGGCAGGACTGACCTTTGCATAGCTCGCTTCTTGTCTCCAGTGTAAATGCACTTCTCTCGATCTCCTTTCCTCACACATGGTCCACATACTGCTCAACACGCGTCAGCTCAACGATTGGTAGGAGTGCAGCTTCGGAGCAGACATACCGGGATGGATGCCGTCACACCGGACCTTCCGGACGCGGCATTCATCGCACGCGACCGTGATCTTGTGACGTTTGTGTGGAGTAGCAGAGCCATCTGCTGAAGACCAGCGCTTCGGAGATGATAGACTAGTCATAGATAGATTAGTAGGAAGGTGTTAGCACATTCGCGTGCTTTGTCTGGTTCTGGCGTGGGGAAAGTTGATGGGAGACGGAAGGGATTCCGGGGAAAGAGGCCACGGGAAAGTGCGGTGCGGGACCTTCGGATCCGATTCCGTGGCTCTCGCCTCGATCGCTCACTTGCGTTGGAAGGGCGATTCTACGTGGACGAATGTAAATAGTAGGTAGGTGGTTATATTCAAATATTCCTCTTGCTACCCACTCAGTTTCACTCTGACTCTGATTCTATCTTCTACTCGACCCTTCGGTCACTTACTTATAGTAGATAACAACAATTACTTTCCGTAACCAGATTGCCTGGACAGCAGAGTCAGAGATGAGCTTCTCATGCTGTACTTTATTGAAAAGCCGAGCATAGACATGATCGCACAGCTATCAACCAATTCAAAAACCCTCTTGATAGACTACCTCAGGAGCCTGACAACTTCACTCGACAGCGAGTTCTGTCATACTACTGGCATCATGTCCCCGAGGGCGTTAGCTCGGATGCTATTTCATAGGATTTTGTAAGAATGATAGGCACACTGTCATGCAAGGGTCATAGTTCTGATCGCACGGGACTTCTTCCAAGACCGTCGATCTTTCGCAAGCTGTGCGTGCCTTGTGGTCTATTAACCTCCTGTGGTTTGATTCGACGTACCACTCCATCAGCTGTTACTGGTCTGACCGTGTAGCAACAACGTGCACAGCAACAATCGGCAGCATAGCGCATGCTCCAACAATTGCACACATGACCCCAGCCGCACCAGCCAAACCCAATGTCTCGAACATGTCGGGGAAATAGAATGGCCCAATCTAGCCGCAGAGCACTCAAAGTTAGCACGAACCTCAAATTCGACCATGTCTGCGAACTCACAAATCCATAAAGATGGCGAAACACATTGATGCAAACCCCGATATCTGTAGCCACCTCGCGATGGCTATCAATAGCAAAGGAGATCAGGATAGTGGTGATCACCTGGTTACCGAAACTGGCGATTGCCGCGCCCACGCATGGAGTCACGTTCCAGGACGTGGCCTTGCTGAGCTGGAACCCCCAGACTAAAAGACCGGCGATGACGGTGCCGAAGCCAACATAGGACAGCCAAAGACGGTCCGCTGGGCGGTGGCAACCTGTACGTTTCTGGAGAGCTTGCAAGAAACGGTCGGAAATGGGACCGCTCAGCTGCTCGCCAAGCAGGCAGCCGATGATGATAGCAATGAACTGCAAGCCGATTTGCTGCGAGTCAAAGCCGAATTTCTCCCCAAAGGCAATGGGCATCTCGACAATGAGGGCGATGTTGCCGTAGCAGAAGACTATGGCATGAGCGCAGGCGGGAATGAGGACACGCGGAAGCCGCACGTAGAAGAGCGGCTCGACGAATTCGCGGGCCTTGAGGGGCCGGGCATTAATCCGTCGTGGGATGAATTTCTGGTAGAAGTGGGATCTATAGGGGCCTGCTGCGGAGTTGTGGCTGCTCTCCGGGATGTATAGAGTTTCTTCGCCCAGGGATAGATAGGCGACGAGCTGGCAGAAGTTCATGATGGCAAAGATCCAGTACATCCATTGGTAACCAATGTGTTTCGTCACGAAGCCCATGATGAAGGGTCCTCCTGGCGTCCCGAGGGTGAGCATCAGCGTCCACCACCCCAGCTTCTGGGCTCGCTTTTCAGGTTCACAAAGCTCCGTAATGATGCCGCTGCCTATACCCATAGGTGGCGAGATAAAGATCGCTGTTAGGACGCGCGTGGCCATTTGAGTTCCATAGGTTGTGCAGCGAGCTCCACCGATGTTGCATACCATGCTCCCGAGCACCGATAGTATGAAGATATGATAGCGGCCGTAGATCGAGGTAAGAGGCTTCCAGAATAAGGGGCAGATCCCTAGAAGCAAGATCTAGGAGAAATGTATGTGAGCTAGGGCTTCCATGCACTTTTCATCACGCAGACTCAAACGAGGCCGACTAACCTGCATCGAAGTCAGATAGCTTGCTTGCGGCACCGTGACGCCGTACACCTCGGCCATGGTGTCGTATGCCGGGATAATGCCTGCGGCCATGAAAGTTGCGACCATTGAATGAAAAGCAACCATCAGAATCTGGGCATTTTTCTTCCACTCTGGCCATTCCTGGGGGTTGCTTGCGGAGACACCTGACCAAGGGTCGCAGACTTGGTCTGGCACTCTAGAGGATACATCTTCGAGATGAGTTGCGGTGTTGTACTCGCTTCCTTTGACATCTGAATCAGACGTGTCTGGAGCTGACATCTTGCTTTTATCGTTTTTGAGAATGGGTAACAAGGAATCGTGCGGTCTAGCGCCACACCAAGTAAGGAGGCAAAGTATTGCCACCGCTCAAATAAAAAGCACTAATAGCACCAGCACCGTACAAGAGATTATGGCGCGCGGATTGGTAGTTCCACGTCTCTTCTCATCGCGTTGTGCTGGACCCTTTATACCATGTTCCGTCCGCTCTTCTCTGATACCCCATCTACCCCATGGGGAAGGATAGGGTGTAGATTCCCAGCTGGAGCGGGCCTGGATCCGCACTTTGATAGCGCACGGCCGTCAGGTCAGGGTCTCATTGGAACAGCTCAATGATATACATTCTTGGCACTGGAAATGAGAGGAATTGTTTCCGACGAGGCTCAAATCGCGGCCAGAACGTCGCTTACCCGAGGGTATACTCGATACAACTGTAGAAGTATCGGGTCCGCATCCGATACCATCCTTGCCATCTGTCGGACACAATCCACTAAACAACCTTATCCATTTAAGCTCTCAGTGACTATTTGATAGACGTCGTTCGCTCTCAAGGGATACACAGGGGCACTGTGGTCCAGCCGCTCTGGATTTGGAGAACCGCGCCGGTACTGGCGATTTGACTTCCTGCGAACTGGAGGAAAAGTGTCAATCTCAGATGCGATTCCTGGAAGATGGACTTGGAATCTTGTTTGATACCTGTGGATATTGCCACTCCATTGATGTCAACAATCCCTCTCATATCCTGCCAATTCTTCCTTGTGCTTGCCCCCTCTCTCTGTACTCTTTCTCGCATAGTGGCTCGATACGGTCAGGAGAGTGTACCACAGCTCAAGGTCACGTTTCAAGTCTTGCTTGTGATCCGTTAAACAAGATTAGAGTCAGGATGTAGAGGATCGAGGGGGAAAGTGAGGATTGCAGAAGAGTTGAAGGTACTGCTGTAACGTTGGATTCCCCGCACCTCGTCCGCACAGCATTGCATGCATTGCGAGGCATAATGTCGGGTGAATGAAGGCCGAAGAATTTTTCCGTGAGAGATTGCATTCTGCTTGGCCTGCGGCTTCCCCCGCATTTTGGACCAGTTTCTCCCCAGATCATAGGCGAAGGCGGGGGACCTTCCGCTTCGATCGTCCCTTGGCATTTCCTGCAACCCAACAACCATCGCTTCGAATCCCACTTAGCAGGTGGACTTGCGCTACAATTGTTTGTCATGAGTCAGGACAACCGTTCATCCGGGTTGATCTGTGCCCGATGGCCTCCATCATGCCACCGACTATAAAAGCAAGACGATAGACAGTGCGTCATGTCACGATGGGCAGGAACTTTGCAGTCGAGATCCGCCTACAGATTCAGTCACGATGCGCCAAAACATTGCTATTGGCGTGTTGGCGACATGCCTCACCTTAGCCTCTGCAACACTGCGAACCAGCCAGAATGAAAGCACGATCACTGTGGCAAATGACCGCCTGACCGCGGTCTTTGCAACCAACAAAGGCAGAATTGTCGACCTCTCCCTCGATAACCAGGACCTGCTCGGTCCTCAATCAGGGGATACAGGGACCGGTCCCTACCTGGATTGCTATTGCATCCCTTCGGGCTTCTACACACCTGGATCCACAAGCCCCAGCATGGAGGTCGTGGAGGGGACAGATGCTACCGGAACCAAATATGCCGGTGTGATCATGAACGAGACATACCCTCCGACAGGTCAGCAATTCCAGCAATACTGGTTTCTACGCGATGGTGAGACGGGTCTGCACACTTTCAGTCGGCTCGCCTACTACAACGAAACTACGCCGTTCTTGCGCAACTTGCAAGAGTTCCGGACTCTTTTCCGGCCTAACACGGATTTGTGGACGCACCTGACGTCGAGCGAGGTTCAGACTGCTCCCCTCCCCAGTAAAGAAGCCATCAGCGAAGAAATCGTCGTTCAAGATGCAACTTGGACATTCAACAACACCCCCAACGATGCGTATTATACTCGATTCTCAGAATACTTCACCAAGTATACTTTCTCAAATGGTCAGTGCTGTTATTCCTTCATCTTCCATGTCGCACATGGCTGATAACTCCGAAGATTGGCGCGATAACTCGGTCCACGGTATGTATGCGGATGGAACCACGTCTGATGGCACGACGTACGGAGCGTGGCTGGTGATGAACACAAAGGTGAGGTTCATTTACAACGAGCAGTACACAGGGAACTAACTGTAATACTTGCTAGGATACATACTACGGTGTACGTTAGTGTCATATACAAGCCCCCTCGACTAGGCTGACCATACTAGGGACCCTTGCATTCCGACCTCACCGTTGATGGTATCGTTTACAACTACCTGGTGTCGAATCACCACGGAGAAGGAACCCCCAACATCACCTACGGTTTTGACCGCACTTTCGGTCCTCAGTACTACCACTTCAATGGCGGAAAGGGATCCAGATCGACCTTGGAAGAGCTGAGGTCTGATGCTGAAACATATGCGAACCCTAGCTGGAACGTGAAGTTCTATGATTCTATCGCCAAACACGTGGTAGGGTATGCACCTTCAAGTGTTAGAGGTACAGTGCAGGGACACATCAAGCTTCCCAAAGTAGCAACCCGGCCGATCGCTGTACTTACGGTAGATGGGCAATACTTCCAGGACAACTCAGTTGACCCGTCATCTTACCAATACTGGGCCGAGATTGACAAGAACGGGAAATTCAACATTGACCACGTCAAAGAGGGCAAGTACCGGCTCACTGTGTACGCGGACGGTGTCTTCGGTGATTACGAACGCGATGGCGTGCGAGTACAGGCTGGCAAGACTACGAAAGTTCAGGAGACATGGGTTGAGGAGTCCGCAGGCACCGAGGTCTGGCGGTTAGGCACTCCCGACAAGTCATCGGGAGAATTCCGCCGCGGCGTTGCTCGAGACGAAACCCATCCACTGCATCCTCCGCAGTATCTGATCTATTGGGCCGCCTATGACTGGCAGGAAGACTTCCCCAACGGAGTCAATTACACGATTGGAAGCAGCGATCCTGCCACAAATTTCAACACAGTGCAGTGGTCCGTGTTTGGTCCGACCCCGAACAATCCCGATGTCGAGTACGACACCACTCACGATTGGACCATCAACTTCAATTTGAATAAGAAGCAGCTGCAGAAGCGCAAGAAGGCGATGTTGACCATCCAGCTTGCGGGCGCGAAGACTGCGTCCGGTAACACTGATGTGTGGAACCCAGCCGAGGAATACAACAATCTCTCGCTGGAGAGTTATATCAACGGCCAGGAGGAGCCCTTGAGCATGGTGATCGGGTTCAATCAGTCCAGTAGCTGCATTGTCCGGTCTGCCGTCAGTTGCTACCAGGTTCGCTCACGGATGGAGTTCCCAGCTGACTGGCTGGTGGTCGGAAATAATGTCTTGACGTTGCATTTGCCGTACAATGCCACGGACACGGAGACGGCGATTTTGCCTGGGACGGTCTATGTGCAGTATGATGCCTTGAGATTGGAGGTGTCATAAGAATGAAGGCATGGTCGGTAGCACGCAGAATTAATGGGATGTACTTGTACTTGCCCCACATTAGGAACCAGAAATCAAGAATTTGCTCAATTTTGGACTTTTGTTGCAGCCTGAGGCATTAGTATCTTTTGCCTCGATAAGGTTCCATATCCCGTTGCACAAGCAATAAATTAAGGACGACATGCTCGGGTAAGACGAGCAACACCTTGAACAAATTCTCAGGTACGTCAATGACGAACTGCAATGCTCAGTGCACAGTAGCTTGGAGCAAAACAGACTGAGCTTAGACGGTATGGGCTGATCATTTAATCAAGTTGATGAGTGATCGCCCCTCCATCCCTTCCCAATGCGGCAATAGCCTCGGTTCATGTCCAAACCCGGGGAAACCCTCCAAATAGCCATCATGGTAATCTTCGCCCCTTGATTGGCATATAAACTGCTGCATGTCTTCCCCGCAAATTGAGTACTGACATTTCTGAGACCATTTCGACAACCAGGACTCATTCAACTAGACTGCGCCCCTAGTGAGTGCTGTCTGCGCAGGCGATTACCTGCCGAATTCCTCCAGCCATGTCCCAGACCTTTACCCGTGCCGAGGTTGCACAGCACAACACCGAAGACTCGGTCTGGTGCATCATCGATCACCGCGTCTACGACCTCACCGACTTTCTCGATGCTCACCCCGGTGGCAGCGTGGTCCTCAACCAGATCGCCGGCCAAGATGCCACCACGGACTTCTATAACCTCCATCGCCAAGAGGTGTTGGACCGGTACAGCCGTCTGTGCATCGGCACGGTAGCCGGAGAGAGCCCCGAAGTCGTGACCCCCGAGCCGGGCAGTCTCAGCCAGGTTCCCTACGCCGAGCCGCTGTGGCTGCGGCCCGCGTTCAAGAGCCCCTACTACAACGACAGCCACCGGCGACTACAGAAGGCGCTGCGCGAGTTCACGGACCGATACGTCACGCCGGAAGCGCAGGAGAAGGAGAGGGACGGCACCTTTATCAGTCAGGAGCTGATCGATCGCATGGCGGAGACCAATATTCTGGCGATGCGGCTGGGGCCGGGTAAGCATTTACATGGACGGAAGTTGCTGGGGGGTGTCGTTGATGGGAAGGAATTCGACTATCTGCACGACTTGGTCGTTTCGCAGGAGCTGGTGAGGGCCAATGCTCGGGGTGAGTTTCTTGGTTTCGACTGTTGCTATTCCAGAATCGACATTTCTGACTATGAGCAGGCTTCCAGGACGGAAATATGGCGGGCATGGCCATCAGTCTGACCGCCGTTCAGCAATGGTTGCGCAATGAACCTCTTCGCCAGCGGATAACAGATGAGGTCTTATCTGGTAAGAAGAAGATGTGTCTTGCCATCACGGAAGCCTTTGCGGGCAGCGATGTGGCTGGTCTACGCACCACGGCTCAGAAGACCCCGGATGGGAAGTTCTACATTGTGAATGGAACCAAGTATGGCCATCAATTCTGCACTGGACCCCACGTGCTGACTTCTGCAGGAAATGGATCACGAACGGCATGTTCTCTGACTACTTCGTTACCGGCTGCCGGACAGAGAAAGGCTTCTCGGTGCTCCTGATCCCTCGCGGGGAGGGTGTCGAGACGAAGCAGATCAAGACCTCCTACTCCACCGCTGCCGCAACGGCGTTTGTGCAATTCGAGAATGTCAAGGTGCCGGTCGACAATCTCCTGGGTGAAGAGCATAAGGGTTTCATTGTCATCATGAGCAACTTCAATCACGAGCGCTTCATGATGGCCAGCAGCGTCATTCGCATGTGTGCCACCATTGTCGAGGAGTGTCTGAAATGGTGCAACCAGCGCATCGTCTTTGGGAAGAAGCTGATCGAGCAGCCAGTTATGCGGCAAAAGTAAATCCACCACTTAGAGATCCTCCCCCGTTGATTGTCGCTAATGTCTGGGACTACAGGCTCGCTCGGATGATCTCCCTCTGCGAATCCAACCAAGCTTGGCTCGAGTCCATCGCGTACCAAATGTGCAACATGAGCTATGCAGAGCAATCGGCTCACCTAGGCGGTCCCATCGGCCTGCTCAAATCCCACGCCACACGCTCAGCTCAGGAGATCGCCGAACAAGCTACCAACATCTTCGGAGGCCGGGGTCTAACGCAAACCGGAATGGGCAGAGTGATTGAGATGTTTCATCGGACGTACAAGTTCGATGCTATTTTGGGTGGCACGGAGGAGATTCTGGCGGATCTTGGTGTACGCCAAGCGATGAAGAAGTTCCCAAAAGCCATGCTATAACCTCGTCTCGGTTGCAAGAATCAACACTGAATGCAGGCATTCATACAATTATCCGCAGGACCAATCGTAGCCAACCCAGTCTGCTCATAGTCACTTACTGCACATGCACTATTCTTAGATATATGATAGTCATCAAGAACATGTTTCACCATCCACTTAGTCGCTCTTCGGAGATTACACCCATATCAAATGACTAGCATTCTCACTTGACGCTAAAGTGCTTGAGATTAGCAAGCACCAGGATCAAAGCCTAGTGCTTATCAGGGCTATCTCGACTGGGACAAGCTCATTAACGATGACGAGGCCCCTGAGCTCCCAGATCCTACAAATGAGAGTCGACCTCCCACTAAGATTCCAACCACCTTCCTCATCGACCTCATCCACAACCCAACTAAAACTACTCGCCTCTTACGTACCAAAAGTCCACCCCACCACCTACCCTCTACAATGACTCCCCCACCCCCCACCTCAAAAGCCTACACCCTCTACACCTACTACCAATCCACCTGCGCCAACCGCGTCGTAATCGCACTCCACCACAAATCCCTCCCCTTCGCGCACCACTACATCGACCTGCGCGCGGCCGAGCACGAGACCGCCGCCTTCGCCGCCCTCAACCCCAGCCGCAGCCTGCCCGTACTAGTCATCACCGACGCGACAACAGGCACCGAGACGATCCTCACGCAATCCGTGGCCATCCTCGAATACCTCGAAGAAGCGCACCCGGACCGACCCGCGCTCCTGCCACCGCTCGACGCAGCGCCGCTCCACCGCGCCCGCGTCCGCGAGCTCGTCAACCTCATCACCAACGACATCCAGCCGCTCTCGAACGGGCGGATCGCGCGCCGCGTGCGGCAGATCCGCGACGAGGTGCAGGATCAGTTGAGCTTTGTGCAGGAGGTGAACCTCGCCGGGTTGACGGCGTACGAGCGGTTGTTGGAGCGGTACGGCGCGGACAGCACGTACTCCGTCGGCGACGCGGTGACCCTCGCGGATGTCTGTTTGGTGCCGGCGGTGGAGATGGCGGTGGCGTATCGCACGGATTTGACTGCCTTGGTCAGGGTCCGGGCCGTCGTGGAGAGGTTGAAGGCTTTGGAGGCGTTTCGCAGGGGCGATTGGAGGAGGCAGGGGGATACGCCGGGTGAGGTTAGAGTTGAGTAGGTTGTCACTGAACTGAGTTTGAAGTGTGTGGTATACTATAGGTTATAGAGCAGCTGGCGGTGGTGGGAGCCGCTGCGTTACGGGATATATATGTGGCATGGAAAGCACAGGTGGGATAAGGCCTTATAATACCGGTAACCATCACTCAAGAATCTGTATTGGATTAATTACTCCAAAGAGAAAGGAAACATAAATCACTTTTGAACTATAAGCTACTTCGTAGTATTCACCCTGCGCAATTCCCGCGGTTCCAGTCCGTTGTGCTGTCCAAAGCTCAGCTCCAAGTGACTAACCCAATGCGGTCGGCCAGGCAGCGATAGGCGGCGTAATGTAAGCTCATCCCAGCCGATAAGAACATCGCGGACATTTTACGCCACCGTCACTTGGACCTTACTTACCCCATCTACTCATATCTGAACCGACCCCACAATCTCAGCATACACACCATTATGGCAGATGCCTTGAATCCGAATCATGTCCTGGAGCTTGCTGCGACGGCCATCCGTCAGGATGAAGGCGCGTCGCCCAGCTTGAAAACCCCCTACGAGGCTGTCGCTGTGATCGGCCATGCCTGTATGACAGCCGTGGGCTTTCGACTCGTCGGTCTGGGAGAGGACCACAATCTTGGTACGCGATACCTGCGCGATTCTCTGTCCCTACAGGCATATTTACTAATCTCATGGGCACCTACAGAAAGCTCGTCCGACAGCCTGCGTCTACCGGCCGAATGGAACGCGAGCACCAGCTTCGCCTTTCGCTACGCTCACTCCCAGTCCTCCATGCAATACCTGCTCAAAATCAGTCGACTGGGCAGCAAAGCTGTGGTGCTCGCGCTGGCCCTGGGCGACGACAAGACGACCTCTTTCGACCTCCCCGTCCAAGACTACATTTCCGAATCCGCGCTCCCCTTGTCCTCCTCCGCCGATCTCCCCAGCGCCCTCAGAGAAACATTCATCTCGCCTCCGCGGGTCCAAGATCTGATCAACCTGTTCAAGATCAACGTCATCCAGAAACTCGCTCCGGGGCTGTACAAAGAAGGATACGAGGATACAGGCCGCCCGTTGCGGGAGGTGCAACAGGAGCGGCCACCGCGACACGACCCCCTCCGAGACGATTCTCTCCCCCAACCTGCTCGCCCTTATCCATTCGATGACCCTCTAGCCGTGCCTCCCCGCCGACCGGTCCCAGCCGGCGACTTCCCTCCCCCAGGCTTCGAAGACGAGTTCGAGATCCAGAGACCCCCTCGGGGTTATCCGGGGATGGGCGGTCGGAACCCACTGAGCATCGGCGACCGTGATCTATACCCAGCAGGTCTGGGTCCCCATGATCCGATTTATGGTGGCGTTGGCCCGGGGCTTGGGGGCGGCGGCGGGGGTGGGGGTGGGATGCATCCGACCTTCGATGATCCCCTTTTTGCAGGCCGGCGAGGTGGAGGAGGCAGAGGAGGATATGATCCCCAAGCGCCTCCAGGAGCACGATATGATCCTGTTGGACCTGGAGACGGAGCACCATTTGGTCAGGGGGGGCGGGGACCATCCTTTGGCGGACGCGGAGGAGGAGGATTCGGCGGGTTTGGCGGGTTTGGCGGTGACATCATCTAAACCACACTTCGGCCCAAAATTATTGGAGGGGAGGGGAGGGGAGGGGGACATGTAGTATGACTTAATGACGAAAATGCTCCACGGGAATGACTGGCTGGCTGGCCATTGTGAGGATGAATGACTGCAATCTTGTACTTAACTTGTAAATTGTGCAATTGATCATTGATGGAATGAGCAAGACGGCTGTAGTACTCTGTGTTTGCGTTGCTGTGATTGTCTTTGTCTGTTGGAGTTGTCGTAATTGTTGTGTTGTAAATGTCGGTATTGTAATTAGATTCTCCGCCCGTGCCACACTCACCACCACAACCACCACAACCGAGAGAATCCCAAGTGTGGCGCAGGAAGGAAAATTCCTGGGGCAGAAAGCAGGAAAGGTGGGCGGTGTGGCGCACGCACGGGCGGCGGCCACTGCAGATATGACTGACTGACTATTGAACTGCTAAACTGCTAAACTGCTGCTGCTGCTGCTGCTGCTGCTCTGCTCTGCTCTGCTGCTCTGATGCCCGTCCACCCTGGCAGATTGCTAACCTGCTAACCTGCTAAACCCATCCACCTCATCTCACACCTCTCCACCACCTCCTTCTAGCCAGCTCCCTTTCCCCCCCCTCCCCACCCACCACCAGTCTTCCCATCCCAATCAACTCTTCAACTTCAAATCCCCTTTCATCCTTATTGCTATCGCCTAGTTATTCTAGCGACAGCCTTTTGTGTCGCTTTCCTACTCCTCGTTCTCCCCCTCCTATTGCCCCAAATTAGGTCTCGTCTCGTTTCACCCCGGGCGTCTTGCTTCCCCCCTCTCATCCACCCCCAAAGAAAAGAATCCCGCCTTACCTCACCTCACGAGACCTTTCTCCCTTCACACCCCCACCGCCCTTCGCCGCTTGTTCTCGCCCGAATCTCGCTCCCTACCACCTGCAACTCCCCTCGGTGGTCTTCCCAATGGATAACAACATGGAAATCGATACTGCGCGGTCGCCCGAACCTCACCACCTCTCCCCGACGACCGACCCGGGTTCCATACCCACCCTCGACGGATGGATCGAGAGCTTGATGACCTGCAAGCAACTGGCAGAGGAAGATGTTCGGAGACTGTGTGATCGGGTGTGTCTTTCTGTCGATTGGATATTCCAGCTGTTGTCGACCAGCTCCTAATCATGGTTTTGTTTTTTCCCCACCTAGGCGCGAGAGGTACTGCAAGACGAGTCCAACGTTCAGCCCGTGGTATGTGTCCTTTGATTATGATGATGTTTACCATAATTCTCCTGGTTGGCCCTGTCCACCTATGAGAGTTCAGCTGTCGCGACCGATCGGGCTGACCGGAAACCTGCCTCTCCGCAGAAATGCCCAGTGACTGTGTGCGGTGATATCCACGGCCAGTTCCACGATCTGATGGAGCTCTTCCGCATCGGTGGTCCCAACCCCGACACGAACTACCTCTTCATGGGTAAGTGGAAGCATGCGGCAATCCCTCATCCCGGGGATTGCCTACCCCTGTGTGCGTGTGTGTATGTGTGTCTCCGACTAACGCGCGTGTCCGACCTCCCCGTGTAGGTGACTACGTCGACCGTGGTTACTACTCCGTAGAGACCGTCACACTCCTTGTTTGCTTGAAGATCCGCTACCCGCAGCGTATCACCATCCTGCGAGGAAACCACGAGTCCCGCCAGATCACGCAAGTCTACGGGTTCTACGACGAGTGCCTGCGCAAATACGGCAACGCCAACGTGTGGAAATACTTCACCGACCTTTTCGACTATCTCCCCCTCACCGCACTCATCGAGAACCAGATTTTCTGCCTGCACGGCGGTCTGAGTCCGTCAATCGACACGCTCGACAACATCCGCTCCCTGGACCGCATCCAGGAGGTGCCGCACGAAGGCCCCATGTGTGATCTGCTGTGGAGTGACCCCGACGACCGATGCGGCTGGGGGATCTCCCCCCGTGGAGCGGGTTATACATTCGGACAGGATATCTCGGAGGCGTTCAATCACAACAACGGCTTGACTCTGGTTGCACGGGCGCACCAGCTGGTAATGGAGGGCTACAACTGGTCGCAGGATAGAAACGTGGTCACGATCTTCTCAGGTATTACTGTCTGCCCGGCTGGGGTATCGGCATGGATGACGCGGCTAACTTTGGCTTTCTTCCTGCAGCTCCTAATTACTGCTACCGTTGCGGCAACCAAGCCGCAATCATGGAGATTGATGAGCACCTCAAGTATACGTTGTATGTGCTTTCGGGTTGATTCCCCGCCTGCTGCAAGTTGACCGCGCTAACACTGGCCCTCTAGCTTACAATTCGATCCCTGCCCGCGCGCAGGAGAGCCCATGGTCTCGAGGCGCACCCCGGATTACTTCCTGTAATCGGTTTCTTCGTTGTGATAGACATTTTTCCTTTCCACCTCCCCGCTGGCAAAGTTGAGGCTCTTCTTTCGTCGACTTCCTTCGAGAGGACTCCGGGGAGGATCATTCAAATCAAGGGATACAACAGCAGGGACCCGCGGTCTGGCTACACCGTTTGAAGTAATTGTATGTCCGTATTTTCTGGCCCGTGTTGATACCAAATTCATGAAAATAAAAAGACCGTGTTGAAGTCGGTTCTGCTGGTGCTGTTGTCGAGCTTCTAGTCTACTGGTTGGGGATGTTTTGTGAGTCGTCGATGGGATCGTGGATCCATGTAGGCTTGGACTAGGTAGGATACAGTCGAGTTCTTCTACCACGGCTGCAGTCACAGAAGTTCCGTCTTTCTTTTTTTTTTTTCTTTTTCGGTTTCTTTTTTTTTTCTTGGTGTAAGATGCTCTGTAGGACCGTAGAGATATTTACGCAGTAATCTCCCCGATGGCTACAGCGGAAGGTGTGATGCCATACGCTTCGGGCTTCTCGGACCCCCATCATGGATCCCTCCCGCTTGTCAGGTACTCTGGACTGTGCTGCACATATTCAGCATATCACATATGATCATGACTTTGGGCTAACAAGGTAGTTCCAGGACAAGTTCCAACTTCAAGCTGGAGGTTATGCTACTACAGTGCATGTTACCAAGTGACCGAATGAAGGTCTGAAATGACTAAGCAAGAATTGTCCAATCTGGCAACTAAGTCAGGTTCAACTTAAATTGGACGGACTCGGCTCGATCAACAACAGTACCTCCACCCACTCACTGTAGTGATGAAGACGAGCCCACCGCAGTCCCCTTGACTGTCAACCCGACTCCCTCACAATGAACAACACCAGACCTTAAGATCCAATCAAGCTACCACATAAACTATAACTTAACTGACCACTGCGTATTGTAACTAACCCTCTAGCACAATCAAACCATAGTTGAGAGCTCGATCACATACCTCTCAAGGACCGTATCGCCCTCCACCCCTCCACCCCTCCGCTTCACACCAGATACCGTCCATTCGTTGCGTCCTCCCATCTCCCATCTCCCTAATCAACCCACCACCACCCCGTCCAAATCGACCTTGACATCGCGAATCACGAAGCCGACCCTTTTCGCCTCCTCCCATTCCTGCCGCATCCTCTCCGCCCGAGCGGCGGAGCGCGGCACGAAGCGCACCCGAAAGGGCTTGGGCACGGTATTGGCCCCGTCCTCAAAGCCATCATCAGACACATCGACGGGGAGGGGATGGCGGCTGGCCTCGTCGCGCGCGGGAAGGATGTCAAAGAGCCACACCAGCTTGGCCAGGACGATGAATAGGCTGTTCTCCGCCACATGGAGGCCGGGACAGATGCGCCGCCCTGCGCCGAAGTTGAGGTGGGATTTGTCTTTCGCTTTGTCCGGAGCAGAGGGGTAGGACGACGAAGGCGCCCACGAGGAGCTTTTCAGGTAGCGCGCGGGCTGGAATTCATGGGGCTCCGGGAAGGAGGCGGGATCGTGGTGGATCGCCGGCTGGTTGATCACCACGAAGCAGCCCGCGGGGATGCGCGCCTGCTTGTATTGCACCTCGGCGGTGGTGTAGTGGGCGGTGCCAAACCGGGTGAGGGGCCGGATGCGCGCGACCTCGTGGATACAGGCGTGGATGAAGGGCAGTCGGTCGATGTCGTCGAAGGAGGGCGACCGCGTGTCACCCCCGACCACGCGCGAGACTTCGGCGTGGGCTTGGTGGAGAACCGCCGGGTTGGCGGCCAGGTACAGAATGGCTATATTGAGGGCCGAGGCGGAGGTATCCGAACCTGCCTCAATCAGGGCTATTGATTTCGCAATAAAAGGTTGCTGCGTGTTAGTTTTCGTGTGAGAAATTGGGCGAGAGGGGGAGGAGCCGCCTGCCCCGGGCCAGACTTACTGCCCGCCAAAAACGCAGCTTGGCTCTCGTCAATCTCATAGCGTTGAGTCTCCGTTTCCATGAAGTGCTTGGCGAAGCATGCTGGCGCGCTGCCCTCGAGGACCTTCTGCCGCAGCTCCTGCCACAGGCCCATCCAGAGGGAGTGCTGGCGCTCGTGGAACTTCAGGGCTCGGGCCCGCCACCACTGCAACCACGTGGGCAAGCGGTCCAATTGCGGGATGAGGTCGGTGATGAACGCCCCCGGCGCGGTTGCTTGCGAGAAGTCTTCCATGATCTTATCGACCCGGTGGCAGATCGGGTCGTCCTAACGCAAGAACACCTGTCAGTGGACAACCATCTCCTCATGGGGTCCGGTGTAATCACCAACCATTGACGCCACTCGTCGACCATACGTCGAGGTTAAAATGACTGAAGCATGAATGAACAGTCAGCCCGGGGACTTTCGTCCCCACGACCCCACCCCCGGGAAGGAGTGGTGATATGGTAATGGTGACGGGTACCTTATACTCACCTGAGAGGGACATTCGATGGGCTTGCTCTTTGCAGACGACTTCCTCCCCTCCGCTCTGCAGCAGGTCGCTTACCAGCTGTGTGGCTTCGAATTCCTGGCTGGGCCGGAAACTCCGCGCTACGTTCGGGTGCAAGAGCTGGTGCAGGATGGTGCGCAGCCGCCGCCAGTGCGTGTTGTAGGGCATGATGGCGATGCGCCCGCCCGAGACAATCGGCGTGGCACCGCGCCACGGGCCCTTGGACGAGGTTTTGGCGGACTGTCGATCGAAGATCTCGCGCACCGCCTCCCGGCTGTTCACGTACACGAAGTCCTCGAAGCCGAACCGGATATGGAAGAGCTCTCCCTGCGTCAGGCCCAGCTCCTCGAGTCGCCGCCCGGGGTTGGGGCCGAGCTGGCTTTTGGCACCGAAGATGGGGTGGCCAAGTGGCTGAGGGATTCCCGACTGACGCCACCGTCTCCTCGCTTGGATAGAAGACCAGATCCAGCGGGCCAGGAAAATGCTTCCGGCAAACAGGAAGGTGAGAAAGATATTGCTCATGGTGTTCTTTTTCTCTATGCTATCCTTATTCTTATCTTGGTATGGACGGGGGAGGAAACGGTAAGCTTGAGTGCAGCGTTGTTGCTTTTGTTATGTCTTTTCGTCCGTCGTAGGGATTGATTGTGATGGGCAGGACAGGTTTAGGCCAGTGTCAAATCTTTTCCTTTTGGATTTCTCTTTTATTTCATCCCATTAATTAATTTGTTTGCCCCTCACCCCTCTTCCTTCCTTTCCTTGTTCTTGGCCATGGACCCTATCGTTCTGCAGAGAATAAGCACGCAGCGGCTACAGATTCTACAGGAATGGTGCCATATTTGTGATCAACTATCAATTAGTGGCAATGAGACAATTCACACGCCGACCCCACCTCCGGATGAAAAATGGGTAGGATCCTGCTAAAATACTGGAGATGGCTCCAGCAATGCACACATTATGTATGGTACTTTTGTCCATACTTCCCCGAGCCATGACTGACTTGGTAACAGGTTATGATTTCTCTCATTATCAGCTCAGGTAGGATTACTTGTAAAAATACCTAGCCATCATCGTCGCCGCAACACCTGTGCACAACAATGGATTCCCAGGAAGGTTATCGTCAGCGACGAATGCTCCAAAATCGTCTGGCCCAGCGCCGATTTCGTACGAGTGACTTTCTTTCTCCCTTCCTCCCTTCCTCTCTGCCTCTCGCTTTCGACGAACCCGCTAATTCCAAGAGAGCTTTTCTCTTTCCACAGGGGAGCGTAACCGAGCCGCAAAAAGCGATCGTTCACAGGGCGAGATCGAGGGTATCACTCATTACGACCACTATCCTCAGCTCCACCATAGCCCCGGTGCATCAAGCCCTAATCACCTGCGCGGCGATAGCAACAACGACAGCAACAGCAGCAGCAATCTCCTCTCGGAGCCTCCTCCTCCTCCTCCCCTGAACCTCCACGGCGAGGGCGATGCAGAACTCTGCTCATGCTGGAGCAGGAGGAGTGCTGCTGCCGCGTCATCGCTACTGGAAGCGAAGAAGAGCTCCCCTGGATTCCCCCGTGATCGTGGATATCATCATCACCTGCCGCAGGTGAACGAAGAAGCCATCCAGCTCTCGAATTTCCTCTTTCCTACCGCAACAAACAAGGACAACAACAACAACAATACCGACACCCCTTTAAGTTTACACATACATCATGGCCAGCTACTGCAGGCCGAACACGCGCTCGCAACCGTCCAGAAACAACGGGACCGACTCGGCGCGCAGGGCAGGGCACTCCTCCGACAGCTTTCCGAGGTATATGCGATCGGGGTGTCCCTGGATATCTTCATTGCGAGCGAGGCGTTTCAGGTTCATCTGCTGGGGGCGGAGAGAGCTTTCGCTGCGCTAAGTGAGTGATTTTCTTTTCTTTTCTTTTCTCTTCTTTTCTTGGGGGGGAGGGGGTGAAGTACTTTTCGACTGTATCTTTGGGTCAATTATCTGTAGTAGTTCAGTATGGGTACTACTACGGAGAACTGTACAGTAATTACCAGGTACTACATAGAAGACTACCCGGCTACTACTGCTGTTTCCGGTAAAACGGTCTGTAACTACCTCGTACCTACTGTAACCTGCCGCTTTGACCTTGAAGTAGTTGTTGACTCAGTCTCCCTACCCTTAAAGACGGATACCTCAAGCATCCAATGCCACCAGCTTCATCTCCGTCGCCACTCGCTATTCGTCTGGCGGAAGGCGAATGAGTCAAGACCTGCCTAGAGAGGAAGTAATCCATGTAAGCAAATGTTTTGGTTTCATTCCCCAACTGAGGCATTTGAAGACTGAAAGCTCACCCGAGTCATATTCTCAGTAAAGGCCTCCTCGAAAGATCACCCAAGTGGCAAGGAGGGTAAACCTGGTTTCATCGACGAGTGGATCGATCTTAAGCGAATGGAAGAATCAAAAAGCAACAACAGATTAAGCTCGAGGAATCAACAAGAGGGGAAGCTTACATCGTCATCCCAATGATGGGGCCGAGCCACAGACCCACCAGACCGCCTTTCAACAGTAAGCCCGCGACGAACGAAGTGGGGAGTGCAATCTAGACGTTCAAGGAAGAGGTAGACGTCAACTAACTGGAACCGATCAACGGAGCCACAACGAATGAGGAGGGGTTGAGAGCTAGCTCACCGTATAGTGACAGACCAGAGACAGAAATCCGGCAGTCTGCTGCATCTGGAGCCCCTTCATTACCCCATTGGCCCACTCCGCGGTAGCATAGACGATCTGCAGGAGCGCGCAGAAGGGCATGGTCCGCACCACCAGGGTCTGCACCTCGACCGAGGTGCACAACTGCCGGGAGATCCAGTACCGCCCCGTCAGGAGCACGCTGAGGTTGAGCAGTCCCACCACGACCGCGGTCGTCAGCGCGATGCGCATGTGCAGCTGGGCACGACGCGGGCGATTCTGGCCCATCAGCGTTGCCACACGCAGCGTCGTCGCGCTCGCAATCGCAAAGGTGAGCTGCAGCGCCACAGCCACCGTCCCATTGAGCACGCTCTGCGCCGCCAGCCGCGTCGCATCCAGCTTCCCCGCCCCGACCGTCAGCAGCTCGAATGTCAGATACTCCGCCAGCACCGTGATCGAGCCCGGCAGCGCGAGGCGGAGTAGCCTCGGCCAATGTGCCCCCGCGCGGAGCAATGAATTTGGAGACGATGACGAAGAGGCGGAGTCATCGTCGTCATGCGAGCATCGGCTGATGGGACGGAGGTAAGTGGCATGGGCCAGAAGACCTGCCCCAAGTATGGTGTCCGACAGTGCTGCAGAGACCGGCGCCCCGACAAAGCCCCACTGCAGCCGATAGACAAACCACCAATGCAACGCGAGATTGACCGGGACCGCACAACAGAGGACCACAATTGGCGGGTGGAAGATCCCCTGGCTCTGCAGGAAGCGCTTGCCGGCCTCGAATCCTGCATGGCCCGGCAGGCTCAGCAACGAGACCCGGAGGTACTGCGAGGTGAGAGCGGCGATTTTCGGCGACACCATCGTCCGCAAGATGGATTGACTATGCCACCATCCCAGGCCCACCGGGCAGCTCACGATCGTCAGAAGCATGAGCGTCATCTTTAGATACAGGGTGGCCAGATCCCACCGCCGCAGCCCGTAGGCGAGGGCCCCGAGGGTGTCCAGTCCGGAACACAGCCCTTGATAGACCCCGTATGCGGTGATATTGGTGATACTAGCCCCGAGGCTGACAGCCCCGAGCTCGTCGATCCCGAGTCGACCCACAAAGAGGAGCCCCGCAAAGGGAAGAGAAAATTGAAGGTAGGACACTAGAACCAGCGAGGTTGACGAACGGACCAATGTGAGGGTCTCTTCGGCCACGTTCCCTGTAGCTGGTGGGCCGTCATTTTCGAGGAGTGGAGTGGTTTCTCGTGCCATGAATTGAGGGTATAGGTATAGTTAGTCGGTACTAGGTGTAGTACTATAGCAAGCGCCGTAGATTGCTTGAAGAGCTGACGCTAACTATATAGTCTGAAGGCCTTTTCTTTGTGGCCCACTGGAGATTGAACACGTTCGCCCTGGCGTCCAATCGATCGGACTTGTACTATGTAAAAGAGAGAGGGCCAAGCAATACCTAGTACCACTCTGCGAGGCGAAAACGCTTGCCACCGCGCTAGCGTCTCCTCGAATTCGACGACTGTTTCATAGGTACCATGCATGATGACATGCAGGGGTCAGGCTGACCTGTAATCATACATGATGACTTATAGTACTAGGTTCCTATCTTATACCTCGAAGTCCGAGCCAGATATCCGCCGCTGACTAGGTACTGGGTGAGGGCATTAACGTTACCTTGGCAGTATCCACCACCACCACCACCACCACCAACCACTACTCTGGGCTAAGTTACCACCTCCCGAGTCCATCTCCTCTTCTCCTTCTTCTCCTTCTTCTTCTTCTTCTCCTCTTCCTGCCCGATGATTTTCGATCATTGGTCGAAAGCTTATCACTGCCTAAAAGCTTGCTCAAAAGCTTGCTTTGGTCACTCCGATAGTCTTATCAGTACCACCGGTATCCAATCATGCATGTTACAGATTGCATCAGCATGCCCTGGGCTCCGGGGTAAGCCCTACGCTGTACCTCACCCGAGTCGGAGAGGCCGGTCACTCCCCTCCCCTTCACTCCCCTTCACTCCCCTTCACTCCCCTTCACTTCGCACTCCTCTCTTCTCACTGGAAAATCATTTTCATTCTCCCGTATTCGTCCCCCCAACCCCCCCTTTCCCCTCCCCTGCAGAGCTCAGTTGCTGAAACAGTAATCAGTATCAATTCCATGGATCGACCCCAGGTTTTCCCTATGCCCATCGCGGACACCACCCCGCAAACGACTCTGCATAATCCAGAGAAGAGCCAAGACGTCTCCCAAGCACGCTCTGACACCCTGTCGGAACAGGAACAGGAAGGGGAGGAGGAGGAGGCGGGCACTTACGCACAAGGTCTGCCATTGCTCCTGATCTATTTGTCTCTCTGCCTCTGTGTGATTCTGGTCGGATTGGTATGTCCCATAGAGCTGCTCGTGGCCTTAGAGCCTGGATTAACCCTGGAAGACTGACAAAGCCCCTCTCGGTTTGTACAGGATGCAACCATTTTGACCACCGCCATTCCCAGCATCACCGACGAGTTTGGTTCCGTGCAAGATGTCGGCTGGTATGATGCTGCCTTTCGGCTCACGTCGTGCATGTCACAGCTCTCGCAGGGCAAGCTGTACGATAACTACTCCCTCAAATGGGTCTTCCTTCTCAACATGATACTCTTCGAGGCCGGCATTCTGGTTTCCGGCCTGGCTCCCAGCTCGCTGGTGTTTATCGTCGGACGAGCCATCACGGGTCTCGGCTTTTCGGGCATCAGCCAAGGTTGTATGGTGTAAGTGTCCGGCTGATATCCCAACCTCAATTGAAGGGAATACGTGCATTGACATAATGGGGGGTTGATTTTCTCGAAAGCATCGTGGCCATGTCCACTCCTTTGCGGAAACGGGCCACCTTCCTCGGCCTGATCAGCGCCAGCGAGTACACCGCAATGGCCGCGGCGCCCATCATCGGGGGCGCATTGACCTCCACTCTCTCCTGGCGGTGGTGTTTCTACATCAATCTCCCGGCGGCTGCGGCCCCGGCCGCCATGATTCTGCTGCTGAAGCTCCCCCAGATGCCCTCGGGCAGTCGGAAATCGCAGGTCGAGCGCTTGCGAGAGCTGGATCTCCTGGGGTGTTTCTTCTTTGCCCCCGCCGTCCTTTGTCTCCTCCTCGCCTTGCAATGGGGCGGAGAGACGTACAGCTGGGACAATTCGCGCATCATTGCGCTCCTCGTGCTCGCTCCTATCGTCTTCGCGGTTTTCTGCTTTATTCAACACTGGAAGCAGGATAGCGCGATGCTGCCTCCACGAATCATCAAGAAACGCGTCATCCTCGCGGGGGCGCTCTTCAGTCTCTCGCTCTCGGCGTGTCGCGCGATCGTGCAATACTATGTAAGATCCCCTTCAAACGCTGCCATGGCCTTCTTTGAGCGGGATTCCAAACTAACGGGAGCGCGGGAGCGGTGGTGGGTATTGTAGCTGGCGATATGGTTCCAGACCGTTCGGGGGGCCACTGCCTTGCAGTCGGGCATCTACACCTTGCCCCTGGTGATCGCCATTCTCGTGTCGGCGATGGTGGCGGGTCGCTTCATGTCGGCGACCGGGATCTATACCCCGATCATGATCCCGGCCGGCCTGCTGGTCGTGGCTGGGATCGCCATGATGACGCGCTTCTCGACGACCACCCCCAAGGGGCTGTGGATCCCTTCGTTGATTCTGTTGGGGATCGGATCGGGCAGTAGCGTGTCCATCCCCTTCATCGCGGCGCAGGCGGTGTTGAGCCTCGGTGATCTCTCCGCCGGCATGGCCTTGATGACCTTCTCCCAAGATCTGGGCGAGGCCGTCTTCATCAGCATTGCGCAGGCGGTTTTTCTCAACCGCCTCAGCAGCTCCCTGCAGGTCACAGCGCCCGACCTCGACCCGGAAAGCGTGATCCATCTGGGCGCAACTAATCTGCAGGGGAAGATCCCTTCGCAAGACGTCGCAGCCGTGGCCTTCTCATATAACCTGGCCGTGCGCTCGACCTTCTATTTGGCAGTCGCTTTGGCTGGGCTGCTGGTCATTACCGCCATACCCCTTCAAAAAACGACGCTAATGGGCGGAAGAAGGTCCAGTAGTTAGCTCTACCTCCTTGGCTATGGCTGAACAAAGTTGAAGGGGGGTATGTATGGTTTGCTTTCCTCTCAGACAGACACCTATGGATTGAAGTGCTGGGCAATGAAGAACTTCAGCAGCAAGTGTCCTGTCGCGGCGGGGGAGTGATTCTCAGGACATAAGGGCTGCTACACTGTGGCTGCGAAGGGAATCCCATGGCTTTCAAATGTTCAAACTCTAAAGCTTCGGAGTAGATACTACTGTAGTAGAAATCATAGCACTGCAAAGGCACAGAGGCAGCCCGCCTGTTGGATCAGGTGGTCTGCCCACCGCCTTTGGTCTCTTTGTTTTCTGCCACAGGCTCTTTCTTGTAGATGCGCCAGCTTCACTACCTAAGTTCTCCATCACTCTGAATTCATCTATTTTCGCACTTCCAGCAATTCTACCTCTAACACCCTGAAGCAGCAACATCCCTGAGCCAGTGGACAGGTCTTCAAAGTGCACTATCTATCGTCATTCGTGCCATTTCTTGATTCGGTTCCTACTCTAGCTGTCGCTTCTCCCCGCTTCGGCACAGCCAGCAACCGAAGTGAGAGGACCGCGGAGCCTGTCCGGGAGCAGTAAGGCCCCTGTAACACCGATTGCGAGCTTGTCATCTAGTCTGATACCATGTCAGGATCTGCAAGCATGGAATTGAAGCTGAGGGGCTTGAGGGAAGGGGGGGTTGTAAGCTTACCGCGCATTAGATTCGTGCTCGGTGGGTCGCCATCAACCAATCCTCCCCGTTGAGCTATATCGTCGTGTCCAAAATCTATCACGACAATACCCTCCTTGAGCCGCGATGAGCTCACCATCCTTTAAAGCCAAGGGGAGGGATAAAGCCATATCCCCCCTGCGCAGCTGAAAAGCAAAGCTCACTTGATTCAAGACAAACCCAGACCATACAGCCCTTCCACAATGGCTCCCTCTTTGTCTTTCCCATTACCCAGTGATATCACACAGCAGCAATGGAAGTCTTTCGCTATTGAACACAAGCTGGGCCAGTCAGCATTGCATGAGTCATGTCAATCCCACCAGATCGCACCAGAACAGCTCTTTCAGGCGGCGTGGGCCACCGTCGTGGCCGCCTACGACCACGATGAAGATGTCTACGCAGACATCACAGTGCGGGGACAAGGGGCTTCGAAAGCCTGCCTATGTCACTTCACCGTCACGCCGTCTCAGTCGATTCGGGATGTTCTCACAACGGTGACTGCCACCGACGGTGGCATCCCACCGAGCCCCAGTCACTGGAGCTCACTTGAGTATGTGCATTCGGGATCGGATGTGGCCCCGACCAAGCGCCCCCGACGTGAGGAGCATATCTCAATGCGACTGGTTCTGTGTGAAGATGACAGCACCTTGCGTGTTCAGCATCGCCAGGCAGCTATGGGCTCCGATCGAGCTAGAAGCATGGCACACGGCTTGGTCCAGGTCATCACCCAAGCCATGCACAATCCCGACGTGAAAGTCAAGGATCTCGATTTGATCAGCCAGATAGACCTCAACACCATACTACAGTGGAACGATTACCCACTCCATCTCGTGGACGCTTGTGTGCACGAGATCATTCAGCAACGCGCATGCGAGCGACCGGACTCCCTCGCTATCCGGGCTTGGGACGACGACCTGACGTACAGTCGACTAGACGACCTTGCGTCCCGTCTGGCTTTACATCTCCGGCTCTGTGGCGTCAAAGTCGGAGACGTGGTCCCTTTTCTATTCTCTAAATCTGCTTGGGCAGTGGTAGCCAGCCTGGCCACGCTCAAGGCGGGAGCCGCCGCCGTGGCTTTAAGCCCTGACCACCCCCTCGCGCGGTCTGAGGCTATCATACGCCACACCCAAGCCTCCCATATCCTGGTCTCACGCGAGCACCAAGGGCTGGCGGACTCGCTTCGCCTGCGCACTACCATCGTGGTCGCGCGGGACCTGTTCCCTAATCTTCCCGCCAACAGCACGGAGCTGCCGGCAGCTGCGGCGGTCCGCCCCCAAGATCCAGCCTTCATTCAATTCACCTCCGGAAGTACGGGGGAACCGAAAGGGATCATCCTGGAGCACCGGGGCTTTTGCACGAGTGCGGCCGGACAGCAAAGGTCCCAGAATATGACGCAAGCGTCCCGTGTCCTGCAATTCGCGGCGTATACGTTCGACGCCGCGCTGCAGGAAACCTTCACGACCCTGATGGCCGGCGGAGTGGTGTGTATTCCATCCGAGCGAGACCGCACCAGTCGACTCGCTGCGGCGATGCGTGAAATGGAAGTCAACTGGGCTTTCTTCACGCCCACCCTCTGCGCTACACTCCAGCCGAGTAGCGTCCCGTGTCTCCGCACGCTGGTCTTGGGTGGGGAAGCCCCGAGCCCTGAGTTGATACGAACCTGGTCTTCCAGGGTCAGCCTACTGAATGGATACGGCCCTTCGGAATGCTGCATTTGTTGCTCTGTGCATCCCGTGAGCAGCAATGGGTCCGACAGCCCGCTGAACATCGGCGTTGCCATTCCTGGCGTGAAGCTTTGGATCGTGCGTCCAGAGAACCACGCCATTCTGGCGCCCATCGGCGCGATCGGGGAACTGGTCGCGCAGGGCCCCAACCTGGCAAGAGGTTATCTGGACGCATCCAGCGCTACATCTTTCAATTTTGTGAATGAGGTCCCTTGGTCCACTGACCAGTGCTTCCGTCGGGTGTACAAGACGGGCGACCTCGTTCGGTACCTGGCTGATGGGTCCATCGAATTCGTGGGGCGCAAGGATACCCAGATCAAACTTCGCGGTCAGCGCGTTGAGCTAGGCGAAATCGCCTCCCACGTGCGGACGCACCTTGGACGTTCCGATGTACAAGTCGCTGTGGATGTCGCACCGGTCTCACTGCGAGGAACACCGACCCAGCAGCTGCTTGCCTTCTTAACCATGCCGCCAGCAGCACTGGAGGGCTCGAAGGTTTCTCTGGATGTCGTCCCTCGCCTCCCTCCTCGGTGTGGGAGGCTCACGCCTTCCCTCAACGATCAGCTCCTTGCGCTCAAGGACAGTCTGGGCACTACGCTCCCCCGACACATGGTCCCCGCCCTCTTCGTGCCAGTCACCTACCTGCCCGTCAGTCTAGCGGGTAAACTCGATAGGAAAATGCTTCGGGCCCTGGTGGCCGATCTGTCAGAGATGGAGATACTGGAGTATTCATTGGCGTCACCAGGGACACGGCAAGGGGCCCGAGATTCGCGAGAGGCCATTCTTGTCAGGGCCTGGTCCGAGGCTCTACGGGTCCCTCCGCAAGATATCAATGTGACGGACGAGTTCTTCCTTTTGGGCGATTCCATTGCAGCCATTGAGCTAACCACCGTCCTCCGAAGCCGTGGGTTCCATTTGACTGTGGCGGATATCTTCCAACACCCCCGCTTAGAGTCACAGGCGCTGATTCTAGCGGAACTGGTTGGGGATCAATACCAGGAAGCGAAGCCGTTTTCCCTGGTTGAGGGCATAGGAGCGCAAGACCTTGAGGCCATGCTGCGACTTTCCGAGGTCCCGCTTGGGGATCTTGATGACCTTTTACCGAGCACCCGCAGGCAGCAGGCTTTGTTCCTCAGCCAGACGGAACTCCCATCGCGACTGTCGCAGGTGGTCCTCGAGCTCGACCATACTGTGGGGATCCCCGAATTTCGCTTAGCTTGGTTGGCAGTCGTGAAACGCAGTAGCATCCTGCGGGGTCGTTTGGTCGCTGATGGACAGGGAGGCTTGCTGCAAGCCGTTGCCAAACAATTGCCACCCTGGGAGGATATTTCCAGCCTGCGTGACCACCTCGCCGACCCACGCTTCGGTGGACCTTGGCGCAATGGCCAGCCCTTGGTGCACTTTGCGCTTCGACAGGGTGATGATAGGTGTCGGAAAAGTGCCTTTGTCCTGTCGATCCATCCAGCACTGATCGATTGGGTCGCGCTACAATTGCTCCTTGACCAGTTCCAGAACGAATACCGTCAACTAACGGGTGGCCTCGCAATGCCCTACTCCCGTTACGTGGAGCACCTCACTCAGGCGGACCATGCAGCCTCCGCCATGTTCTGGATGTCGGAACTTTCGGAGCCGAACTACCTCCACTACCCCGATGTCCCCTCCTCCGTTGCCACGGCAGACCAGCTCTCGCGGTCCTCGCTCTCGGCGTCGCTTGATCTTCCCGACCGCTTGGATGAACTGCGGCCCCTCGACGCCCTGGTCCACCTCGCCTGGGCCGTGGTTCTTTCCTCTCGAACACTCTCGGACGATGTCATCTTTGGGACTGCGCGGGCGAGTCGCCCCGCATCGATAGGCACCCTGGAGGCAGTTATGGGCCCCACGGAAGCCGTCGTGCCCGTTCGTGTGCGGCTCACGAAAACAGACAGTATTCAAGTGGCCGTGGTGGCTCTCCAAGATCAATTGCAGGCAATCACGGTTCATTCTTATCTGAATGGGCCCCAGCTCGCGGGCATTGGGCCAGAGGGAGAGGCGGCCAGTCACTTTCAGAATTTGTTGGTCGTTCATCCAGCGCTGAAAACGCCCCCAGATCTCCTGACCACTATGGAAGGCTATCCACCCTTTCTGGATGCAGGTCGTTACCACCAGTATCCAGTCACGGTGGACTGTACTTTGGCAGCTGCCCGGGTCGAGTTGCGGCTTTCGTTCACAAAAGCGATCGTGTCCCAGGCGGAAGCCCAAACACTCTTACGGCAGCTGCAGTCTGTTCTGCGCGAGTTGCTGTCACGGCCGGCGGAGACCACGATTCAGAACCTCTCATTGCTGACTGCTGATGATTACGCACAGCTCGTGGCCTGGAACCGCGCGGCACCGCAGCCCGTCCGCGAGACGGCGCATGGCTTGTTTACTGCACGAGCGCAAAGGCAGCCTCAGGCCGTCGCCGTGGAATCATGGGATGGCCGTCTCACCTACGCGGAGCTGGACCGGTATTCCACGCACCTGGGCCGGTATCTGCTGGCAGGTGGGCTTACGCCGGGCCGCGAGGTGGTGACCGTGTGTTACGAGAAGTCGCGGTGGACGCTGGTGGCGATGCTCGGTATTCTCAAGGCAGGCGGCGCCTTCACCCTCATGGACCCCTCGCACCCATCGCCACGACTGAAGTTTATTGCCGACGAAGTGGGCAGTCGCTTCATGCTGTGCTCCCCGCGATACGCGACCAAGGCGGCGGGGCTGGCCGCTCACCCGATCATCGTCGACGAGAGCTTCTTCCACGGGGACTTACCAACCAAGCAGTCCGCTGATCTCCCCGCCGTATCACCGGACGCAATCATGTACGTCTTCTACACCTCGGGGTCTACGGGCATGCCCAAGGGCCACCGTACGCCGCATGCCGCCTTCTGCTCGGCCGCCACGGCCCAGGCCCGCGCCCTGGGGCTCTCGTCCACCACACGGAACTTCCAGTTTGCATCATATGCATACGATGTCTGCATTTCCGATATGCTGACGGGACTGTGTGCCGGCACGTGCGTCTGTGTACCGTCAGAGGAGGAGCGACTGGGCGATATTGCCGGCGCCATGGCACAGTTGCGCGTCAATTTCGCCAATCTGACCCCGACCGTGGCGCGTCTGTTGGATCCGGACCGAGTGCCGGCGTTACAGACCCTCCTGCTGGGGGGAGAGGCGCTCCAGCAGACCGACCTCGACATGTGGAGTGGGCGTGTGCGGTTGATGGCCGGTTATGGGCCCTCCGAGTGCAGTCCGCGGTCAACGGTCAACCCGCACCTGACGGCAGCGTCGAATCCGCGCAACATCGGCTTTGCAAGCCTGTGCAACTGCCGCGCGTGGGTGGTCGAGGTGGCCGATTATCACCGACTCCGGCCGGTCGGGCTCGTCGGCGAGCTGGTCATCGAAGGGCCCAACGTCTGCAACGGGTACCTTGGCCACGCTCAGCAGCGCACGGACTCGGGCTTCATCGACACTCCTCGCTGGTATGCCGAGCTGAGTCCCACCCTCCAACCTGTGGGCCGGTTCTACAAGACGGGCGACCTGGTGCGGTACGACCTGAGTGACGGCAGTCTGATTTTTGTGGGCCGCAATGATGCCCAAGTCAAACTGCATGGCCAGCGCGTGGAGCTGGGCGAGATCGAGTCACATGTTCGCGCTCTGCCGCTCGCGGATCCAACTCCGCAGAGCAGCAGCGACAGCAGCAGCAGCGGAGTCATCTCCAAGGTTGTCGCCGAGTTGGCCCAGCCAGGCGGGCTTGTCAGGACCCCAAGCCTCGTGGTCTTTGTTCAATTCAGCCATCCCCATCGGGGCATTCCCGACGGATGGGCTGCCGCGGTGGCCCAGCACCTGGCTGTCCGCATGTCGGCGGCACTCGTCCCGAAGTACTACGTCGCCCTCGATGAGATTCCGCTCATGTCGTCAGGCAAAGTGAACCGCCGCGCGCTGCAGGCCCTCCCGGCTACTCTCACGGCGGAGCAGCTCGGACTCTCGACCGCTACTCGCAAGGAGAAGCTTCGACCCAGCTCAACGGAGGAGTACCGGCTGTCGCAGCTATGGGCAACAGTCCTGGATGTGCCAGAGGCAGAAACTGGGAGAGACGATCACTTTTTCGAGCTTGGCGGGGACTCAATTGCGGCAATCAAGTTGGTGGGAGAAGCGCGCCGGGCGGGGTTCTTACTCACCGTGGCGGATGTCTTTCAGCACCCGGTGCTTGCTTCAATGGCCACAAAGCTGACCATCCTCGCACCGGCTGCGCCGGGGATGTCGGCCCCAGTGGCGAGCCCTCAGATGACGGCAAGCTTGGCAGATCGTGTCAGTCGCGAATGGAACCTTCCCCGGGACACGATCCAGGATGTGTACCCAGCCACGCCGCTGCAGATGAGCCTGATGGCGCTGACCACGCGCAATCCCAAGACGAACACCTTGCAGCACGTCTACCACCTGTCGGCCGATGTGGATGTGATGCGGTTCCGACGCGCCTGGGAGGCGGTCGTGGCGAGGAACGAGATCTTCCGGACACGGCTGGTCTTCGTCAAGGCGTCGATCCTGCAGGTGGTTCTGGCGGACAGCATTGCCTGGGAAACCACACCCTCGAGTCTGCCAGAGTACTTGTCTCGTGTGGACGATCGACCCTTCAACTACGGCACGCCGCTCATGCGCCTGGGCCTGCTACCGGACGGGCACCGCGGCGGCTCGTACTTTGTGTGGACCGCCCACCACGTCGTCTATGACGGTTGGAGCCACTTCCGCACCTTGCGGCTGATCAAGGAGACATACGAGGCGGACGCGGTGCCATTCTCGATCCCGTTTCGCACGTTCATCGCCTTTCTGCACCAGGCCGGTGAGGACGAGGCGCAGGAGCGGTTCTGGCAGAACGAGCTGGCCGGATTCGAGGGCACGGCCTTCCCTCCGCTGCCGCGTGCCGAATACTGGCCGCTCACGGATCGCGGGATTGACCATGTCATTACCCTCTGTTCCAATCTCGCTCCGCAATCCAGTTCCCAGTTCGCCAACATAACGCTCTCCACCATCATCCGAGTTGCTTGGGCGCTGACGGTCGGCATCCAGACCGGGACCGAGGACGTGGTGTTTGGGGCGGTGCAAACGGGCCGTATGGCGCCCCTGGCGGGCGTCGTGGACATCATGGGCCCAACCATCACAGTCGTCCCCGTCCGGGTCCGGTGGGCGCGCAGCCTCACGCTTGGCGATCTCTTGTTGCAGGTCCAGGAGCAGGGTACGCGCATGATTCCATATGAGCACGCAGGTGTCAAGGCCATTGCCAATATGGGGGAGGACTGTCGCGTGGCCGCCACCTTCCAGAGCCTGTTGGTGGTGCAGCCGGAGAAGACCGACGGTGCGGCGGCCACGGTAGCCGGCATGCGTCTGGTGCAGGTTACCGACCGCGAATTCCCTAGCTATCTGCTCTCGGTACAGTGCTCGATCCAGCGGAATCAGGTGCGCGTGCATGCCAGTTACGACTCGTCGGTGCTGTCGGGCGAATGGGTGCAGCGTATCGTCGGGCAGTTCGAACACCTGCTGCATCTTCTCGGCGATCCTCGGAACCTGCCGACGCCGGTGGGTCAGGGGGAGATCATCCCCGCCGCAGATGTGCAGCGACTCCTCGCTCAAGACGCCGCCACGGCCCTTGATCGCAGCCCGGTGGACGACACAATAGCTTGGGCCATCGAGCGCCAGATGAAGTTGCAGCCGGACGCCCCCGCGCTGTGTGAAATGGAGGGTCCGGGTATGAGCTACGGGGAGTTGGACCGACTTTCGGCCCGCCTGGCACTCCACCTGCGTACGCTTGGGGTCGGTCCGGAGAAAGTGGTGCCTTTCTGCTTCGACAAGTCTGTTTGGGCCGTGGTGGCCGTCGTGGGCGTGCTGCGGGCGGGCGGCGTCTGCGTGGCACTGGACCCTGGCCACCCCCCGAGCCGCCACGCGCAAATCCTGCAGGAGGTCCAAGCCACTCTGGTGCTGACCTCGAACGCGCACCGCGCGCTGTTCAGAGACCAAGGGGTCCCCGTTCTGGCCGTCGACCGGTCCCGGCTGCGCTGGCTGCCTGAAACGGTGATGACGGGGCCGACCTGCCATCCCAAGCTGCGGCCGGACCACGCTGCCTGGGTGGTGTTCACCTCCGGCAGCACGGGGACACCCAAGGGCATCGTGCTGGAGCACGCCTCCATATGTGCCACTGCGCGGGGCAACGCAAGCGCGTTAGGGGTGACGCGGCACACTCGCGTGCTGTAGTTTGCCTCGTTTGCGTTCGACGTGGCGATCGAGGATATGTGTATCACCCTGATGCACGGCGCCTGTCTGTGCATTGCTTCCGAACATGATCGCCTGAACAATCTGGGCCCCACCATGCAGCAGATGCGGGTGACGTGGGCGGATCTGACGCCGTCGGTGGCACGAACCATCGACCCCGAGGCGGTGCCGAGCCTGCAGACGCTGGTGCTGGGAGGGGAGCTGCTAGGCGACGACATCATCAGTAGCTGGGCAAACCGCGTGAACCTCTTCAACACGTACGGCCCTGCCGAATGTGCCATCTACTCCACGACCACGAGCCCCTTGGGGCTCGACGCCCGCGGGGGGAACATTGGCCGTCCCATCGGCTGCGCCTGCTGGGTCGTCGATCCCGACAATCACAACCGCCTGATGCCCGTTGGATGCACGGGGGAGCTCCTGATTGAAGGCCCCAATCTGGCCCGCGGATATCTGCACGACGAAGCTAAAACGCGCAGAGCCTTTGTGCACCCCACCTGGCTGGCCGAGTACCGAGGTGGACAGCGTAGCCGGTGCTACGCCACGGGCGACCTGGTGCAACAGAACCCGGACGGCGCCACCCTCACCTTTGTAGGCCGAAAGGACTCGCAGGTCAAGCTACGTGGCCAGCGGATTGAGCTCGGGGAGATCGAACATCAGATTGCGGTCAGCCTCGCCGGCGAATCCTGGGCCACCGCAGTGGAGATTATCCGGCAGGCGGAACATCGTCAGGAGGCCCTGGCGGTCTTCTACTGGCCTACCCAGGCCACCGCCGATGCTCCGGATGCCGCCCCCCGAGTCGTCGACGACGACGCCCTTGAGGCCACGCGAGCCGTCTTCCTGGGGCTCAAGGCGCAGCTGGCCCGGGTCCTGCCCAAGTATATGATTCCCACCTTGTATGTGCCCCTTTCCTTCCCGCCAAGCACGCGGACGGGGAAGTTGGATCGACGGGCGTTGCGCAGCTTGGGAGCCAGCCTCTCGATGGCGCAGGCTACCGCGTTTGCCCTCGAAGGAACCGCGGGCGGCACAGTCGCCAAAGTGCCGCCGCAGACGGAAATGGAACGGGTCCTGCTCGAGCTCTGGGGCACCGTTCTTGGCTTGTCGACGGAGCAGATGGGCATCCATGACAGCTTCTTCCAACTTGGCGGGGAGAGCGTCGCGGCCATCCGGCTAGTGGCCGCGGCGCAACGAATGAAGCTCGCCATCACCGTGGCGGACATTTTCCATCGCCCCGTGCTAGCCGACATGGCTGCTTCCCTGCACCCTGAGACGCAACAACAACAACAACAACAACAGTCCGCCGACGAGATGCTGTCTCCTTCTCCTACCGGTGCCGATCTCACCGCGCGCGTCAGTCGTGCCTGGAAGATCGGTTACGAGAGCATTGAGGACCTCTACCCCTGTACATGGCTGCAGGAAGACATGATCCAGGTGACCCGGCGGGTCTCCGAAGCAAACACCCTGCGCTTCATTGCGCACCTCGACACGGCCACGGTTGATCTGGCGCGGTACCAAGCCGCCTGGCAGCAAGTGGTGACGGGGAACCCGATCCTCCGGACGCGCATTGTTCGTGTAGACGATGACGACGATGAGGGCTACGACGCCAGCGACGACAACTATCGAGCGCTGCAGGTGGTGGTGGACGAGCCGATCCAGTGGTGTACCTCCTACAGCCGGCTGAGCGACTATCTACGCGAGGACCGCTCGACCCGCTTCGACTACGGGACGCCTCTGACACGGTTTGCCCTGATCCCACATGGGCCGGATGAGTATTACTTCGTCTTCACCAGTCACCACGCCACGTACGACGGCTGGAGCGTGCGGCTCGTGCACGAGATGGTGGCGGATCTGTACACCGGCCGCCGCCGTAGCCGCCTTGCCGTGGGCGCCGCCCCTGCCACTACCCCGACGCCCTACAAAGCTTTGGTACAATACATCGTGTCGCTTGAGCAGCAGCAGCAGCAGCAGCAACCCATCCCGACCTACGCCGCCTTCTGGCGCTCGCAACTCCAGGGTTTCAGGAGCAGCACCCAGACGTTTTTCCCGGCGTTCCCCAGCGCAGACTACCGCCCGCTCACCGACAGCGTAATCGAACTCACCCTGCCCCTACCCCCAAAACCTCGGTCCAACAACAAAAACAACACCCCCACCACCAAGGTTGTCACCATCTCGACCCTCCTGCGCGCCGCCTACGCTCTCGTGCTCGCGGCCCAGACGCACACGACGGATATCTGTTTCGGGGCCGTGCAGGCCGGCCGCTCCATCGCGCTGCCGGGGATCTCGGAACTGGTCGGCCCGGCCATCACCCTGGTACCGGTGCGTATCCGGTGGAATGATGCCAGCAGCGCCGGCGGCGGCGGCGGCGGCACGACGGTCCGCAGCTTCCTCGAAACCATCCAGGACCAAAGCACGGCCATGATCCCCTACGAGCACGTCGCCAAGCCGCGCATCGCAGCCCTGGGTCCGGACTGCGCTGCCGCGTCCGCCTACCGGTGCCTGTTGATCGTGCAGCCGGCGTCGTCGACGGGGCCAGTCTCGACCATCCACGGCGTCACGCCGATCAAGACCAAGTACCCCGAGTTCCTGGAGTACGGGCTCAGTCTGGAGTGTCGGTTGGCGGCGACGGAAATGGTTGTGCATGCGGATTACGATCGGACGGTACTGGGGCCTGAGGAGGTGAGCCATGTGATTCGGCTGTTGGGGACCGCGCTGGGATGGCTGGCGGGTGAAGACGAGATGGGGATGACGGTGGGGCAGTTGGCGAGGCGGTTGCGTGAGGAGTGAGTTTCGTGTTCGATATAGAATTGTGGGACTTCCACCTCTTTTTTTCTTTTCTGCTTCTCCTTCCGTCCCCATCCAAGGGGAAACTTCTTCTTGTCCCAACTCTATTAGTGTCTGCCCACTTTTTTGGTACTGGGCTGTATAAATGAGGATGGGAGGTTTATACGAGCACTCGGATTGAGCTTCTTATAGGCTACTTCCAGGTTTGTCGGTGGAACATCCGTCAATCTCGGGGAATTGGGATTTTATTAATGTGGATATAACATACTTGTGCGTGTGTGTGTGTGTGTATTAGGATAGTGTTGGACATAGTAAGTAAATAGTATTGGCACCCAAGGCCTGAGGTTGACATACTGTGACTTGAAGTACGTGCCTGCCAAGTTTCACTTTACAGTTGACGATTCAACGCCCGGCTTGTGTATATCCCAGCGATAGCGGTATCATACCACCTGACCCGCTGGGCTGTATGTCTGTCCCTTTGAGGCCACCCGGCAGGAGGTTCACTCCATTGCCTCATTACTTCACCCCGAACCCCTATTGGAACCAACCTTACACAGCCTATGGCATAGGTAACAAATAAAGCTCAAGATTGTCGCTAACACCACCCAACCCGAGCACTCACTCATTCACTATGTACAATGCCACCAAGCCCGGACCATCGCCCGCCAGCCGGCAATCAAACCCTCCCCCCCTTCAGACCCCCGGCGGCAGCAGCAACAGCCATCAACGCCTCCACCTCCGCCGTATGCTCGGAGAAATGATCGACCAGATCGTCCCACATCTTCGGCTCGTGCTCGTGGCGCTTCTCGCTCGTCCAGGCGAACTCCGTGATCGTGAAGGGGCGGCTCGACTCGAACATGAAGGCCATGGAGGCCTGGGAGATCTGCATGGCGGGCGGCGCGGTGGCGGTGGCGGATTGGAATTCTTCGTAGGCGACGCCGTGGGGGACCACTTCGTTCATATTAGTTATGCTGATTATGTGTTTGGTTGGTAGACACTGATAGAAGGGTAGGAGAAGAAAAGAAGGGCCACTCACTCCCGCATTCGAACGAGACGCTGCCCGGCTGGAAGGCGTCGGAGCGGCCGCCGTAGTCGCCGTAGAGGAGGCCCATGAGCTCTGAGGCGGCGTTGCGGTGATAGTACGGCGGGCGGTAGGTGTCTGCCCCAAGAATTAGGATCGAATGGTGATAAAGAGACAGGGGTCAGGGGCCTACGTGATGCGACGTCCCAGCGCGGGGAGAAGATAAGTACATCCGCCAAGGGAGCGGTGAGGTCGCGCGACTTGGCCGTCAGCACACAGAAAATGGAGGGGTCGATGTGGTCGACGGAGATGGAGCCGACGTTGACGAATTTGGTCAGGTCGTATTTGTATGGGACCTGCAAAGTATTAGTGCCTTGGCACCTTTCTGGGGCAGGGGCAAGCGTACATAGTTCCCATGCCAGGCGACGACGTCGAATGGACTGTGGTTCTGCGTGCTTTTGAAGAACTTCCCGCCGAGCTTGTACACAATCTCCCACGGTTCCTGCGCGATCTCGTACTTGGCGGTGGGCACGAGGAAGTCCCGCGCGTTGGCCAGACCGTTCGCCCCCAGCGGGCCCAGCTCGGGCAGCTCGAACTGACTGCCCCAGATCTCGAGGATGTATCCCCGCGACGGCCCATCGGGCAACTCCACCCGGAACCGGATGCCCCGCTGGATGACCACCAGCTCGCCCGGTTGCACGAACAAGGGCCCGAACTCGGTCTGGATGTCGAGAGCGCCCTGTTGGGGCAGTATCACCATCTCCCCGTCGGAGTTGACAAAGGCCTTCTTCGTCATGCTGGCATTCGCCGTGTAGACGTGCGTGGCCAGCCCCTCGCGGAGGGTGGGCTCGCCCGAGCCGGCCACGGTCTTCAGTCCGTCAACGAAGTCCACCTGCTCGGTGCTGGGAATGTCGAAGGGGAACCAGGCCAGCTGGGTGGGCGACACGTGGACGCGGGGGTTCATGGGGAGGAAGTTCGCCTCTGTGTCTTTGTTGTCGGGGAGATTGGTCTGGTTGGTGCGTCAGTCTGTGGTCTGATCTGTCAACGCTTTCGCTCTACTCACGAATCCCTGGTGTGCCACGGCCGGCCGCGCACGATACAACCAGGCCTTCTTGTTGCAGTGTCGGGGGGCGATGAAGGCGCTGGCCGTGATCTGCTCCGCATACAGCCCGAAGCGGACATTGCGGGGACTGTTCTGGCCCTGTGGGATGGTGCCAGGGACAGCCTCCGAGACGAATCTGTATGCTATTTCAGCTTGTTGAATTGCTGATGCGGGAAGACAGTTGAACATACGAGTTGCCAAACCCGGCTTGGTACTATGGATGGATTAGCGTTGAGCTAGCACGACTACACTGTGTCCGCGTAGCGACATACCTCATAAGGATCATTCCGTCGCGTGTTGAACGACGGGATCGTGCCGTCCTTTTGCGTCTCTGCCCAGTGGAATATCTTCTGGTATTCCTGGGGATCTGATAGATCGCTTGTGGAAGGCATGTTGGGATGATGAGTATCAGAATAGACAGAACGAGGATCGAGGAATCGGAGAGATAATTTGTTGCTATGGACTTGGAAGATTGAATGCCAAATTGTTAGGCATGGACCCCCGGCGTCGTGCCATCCTGATATACTTCAGTTTGTGGGGTCAAGGCCGCGCCACGGCAAGAATGAACAATGAACGAATTATTGAGACCACCGGCTATCCCGGAAACCAGAGCGTGAAGTTGACAGGGTGGCTGGCTGAGCTGAGCGCGAGGGCCTGGAGGTAGTGAGGCCACAAGCAGGCAAGAGATGGAGTTCGGCATGTCGCGAGGGAGGATTGTTGCCGAAGAGGAGGAGGTGGAAGGGAAGCTGGGGATCATTTGTGGAGGGACCCCACATGAGTAAGATCTGAGTAACAGTGGGGGAAAACACCATCTCGGATCAAAAAACAGCCCAGAATTGCCGGGCTCGCCTCGCATCTCCTCTTTTTCTATGAGTACTCCGTACTACTGAGTATACACCCTACATCATCATCAACTTCAATTCATGAGACTAATCTTCCCTGCCGACACTCCAAACACAACGGGCATGTACACCCCCATACCGGCCTCTCGCAACACCTGCAAATGCTCCACCCGTCGTCGGGCAGCGAATTGCGCCTCATTGATCTCCTGACATTCTCCAAGCGGTCCAAAGGCGAAGCGTCGTGCCTCGGACCATGGCTGTCTGCCATTTGCAAAGCGTATCCACCGCTCCCTCATCTCTTGACCAACGGTTTCGGCCGCGCGGTTGAACGAGAGATCAACGCCCCCAAACAAGAACAGAAGGTCCACGGCATGGTGTGCTCGGCTAGACGCCTGCCAAGGGTTGACCTGGTCGATGACATACTTGTAGACCCGTTTGCCGGCCGCTTGGAGCTTGTCGGAGACGACCTCCACCGGCAGGGAGTAACGCGTGTCGTGGAGTAAATCCAGCGCTCCCAATTTACAAGCTGTCGGGCGATCGGCCACGACCTGGTACAGTTTGCGCAGCTTCTTTCCCCAAGCGGGATCTTGCTCGAAAGCAGCCGCGATTGTTGACCCATCGAGCGTCTCAATGCCGTTCCTCCAGATGACCGACTGTGTTGCGGTCAGTCATAACTCAATACCACAGTTGTAGCGCTTACCTCGTATTCTGTATCTCCAATCATGACTTCCTCCACCAGCTCAGGCGTCGCCTCCCACCCGTCAAAGTTCTCGTCTTCTTGGAGCCAGAACGAGTTCATCTTGCACTCCTCTATGGCCTGGACAATGGCCGCCACCGAAGCGTGACGGAGAGAAGGCTGGCCCAGATCTTTGACTTTGGCCTCCAGCGTCGCAATCAGCCCCTGGCCCTTCTCCAAAGGCAGAGGACTAGAAAGATAGATGGATCCCGATGCGAGGACCGCTCGTTTCACCGGAGTGCCAGTGAGCAGATGGGCGTGCACGTAGACCGCACCAGCGCTCTCCCCAGCCAGCGTAATATTTTCCTAGATCATGAGAAAATCAACGACAGTCCTCTCTCATGTTAACCGGACCTCCCAGGCACATACCGGATCACCCCCGAAGGCAGCAATATTCCTCCGCACCCATTCGATCGCCAACTTCTGGTCTTTGAGCGCGAGATTCTTCTCCTTCCCATCGCCGAACCCGAAAATATTGAGCCGATAGTTACACGACACAAAGAGAACAGGCTGATCACTCTTGATAGAGTCCCCCACAATCTGGATCGGATCTGAATCCCCTCGCCCCACGTAGTCAGTTACCATCCACAGCTGGAGCCCAGTCTGACACCAGAAAACTTACCGCAAATCTTCGACGCCGCAGAACAGAACGTCACAGCCTGTGACCCGCCTGTAGAACAGCATCACAATCAGTGACCACTCTCCCAACCCCAGGAGAAAGGTCCCTCTGTGTCGCAAAGGCCACCTACCATAAATCCACAGCAGAACCGGAAGCGGTCCCTTAGACGCAGCCAAAGGGGGCCCGGTGATGTTCAAGTTCAGGCATTCAAACTCATCCTCGGGTTCTTTCTCGGTCACGAAATCCTCGGGGATGCGGAGGAGATGTCGGACGTCGACATCGGCCTGCGGACATCTCGGGCTGGGAATCGCTTTCTTAGCTGGGAACAGGAACATGTATAGACAGACAGTAAAGGGGCAGGGAAAGAGAATAGTACCCGTATCGCGCAGCGTCAACGGCAGCGCCATCGAAGCTCTCCACCGGCTGCGCTTGCTCGAACCGCGCGGGGATGTCGGCATACTTGATACCGCGGAACTCGTGAACGAGGACACCGTCAATTTCTCGTTCGATACCGTTGAATGTGGCTTGGAGGCTGGCGTGGTGGATCTGTGGAGGTGCCATGGTAATCGGAGACCGGGGAGATTTATGGTGATGGCACAGTAGAAGGGATGGGGGAGAAAAGAGGGAGACGGGCTGGACTAGTAGCCATCAGTAGGGAGCTTTATGTACCGTACCGTTCATTTTGCTGTGTCTGGTACAGGACCTACCTACCTTGTCTCCCTCTAGTCCGGCTGATGTTTAGATTATTGTGCCGGTGGTGCAGGTGCAGTGGTGGGTCCGGTTTGCGGGGAGATCCACCCTCCACCACCCCCTCCCGCCGGGGCAGATTCCTTCCGCTGGAAAGGACGGAGGGTCCGGAATTCTCGAGGTCTCAGTAGACTGTCAGTAACTTCTCGCAAATACTCCAGCTTACACACCTTATCCCTCGTCACAGGCAATGGGAGCAGAGCAGGCGCAGCACTACAGCACCCCTAACATCGGCGATCATCTGCCTATCTTATTTCACTGTGAGTAGTTATCATTATATCAAGTTTAGTCAAGCCAATCTAGCTGATTCGTATATAGTCATATAAGGCATCAACTCCCAAAACACCGCCCAAAATATCACATTTTCTTCCCACCACTGCACGAAATCACCATTGCCCTCTGGATCAGGGCGACTCGACCTTGGAAGAAGCCCCGTCGCGCACTGTGCCCCGCAGGCAAATATAGGTAGGAATGCCAGTCACCCCGGACATCAACGCCAACGCCCAACTCATCGTGCTCCAACCGGCATCGTTCTTGATGAAGCCCGCGAAAAAGGGCCCGATGATCGTCCCCACCGCGTACGCCATGTTGATGACCCCGTACGCAAACGCAATGGCCCCTCCCTCCCCGAAAATCCCGGGCGTTTCCGCCTCCCGGCCCTGCACGTAGTAGGTCGCCTCCACCAGAACCGGGGACATGATCAGACACACGCAGACCCCGATCAGGACAAGAAGCGCACACAAGAGCACTTTGTGGCCCACCGTGTTCTCGGTCACAAAGCGAAGACAGGCCAAAGCCGGCACCGCCACAAGAAACCCCCCAGTCGCCATGTACCGTCGAGTCTGGCCGTAGTTGTCGATGATGTACCCCACCACGGGGTCGAGGATCTGCGGCACGGAGATCGCGATGAAGATGAGCCCTTGGCCGGTTTGGCCCCAGCCGAACTTCTGCTCGACAAACAGCGGCAGCACGCTGTCGAAGGACGTCAGGGCGAGGGAGAGGATGAAATACGCCCACATGCTCGTCATCATGCGGCCCGAGGTCAGGAGTGTATGCATGGTGCTGGGCCGTTTCTTCGCAGAACCAACGTCGGTCGAGGCGGAGGAGGAGCGCTCCTGCTCGTGGCAGTCGTGCGGGGGACCTTTCAGGCCCTCAGAGGCTGCCGGTGAAACAGCAGTTTCCAAGTCGCTGCCACTTCCTTGCTTCTCTGCCGGGACGATCGGTCGGCCATCGGCCTGCAGCCACTTGAGTGCGTCCTTCCTCTCGATCATGGCGAGTCGAAAGATGACATCCAATGCGATTATGCCAAACGACATCCCGAAAACAGCATAGTAGCCCCCGGCACCGTAGACGACTCCTCCCAGGAGCGGGCCGGTCATTGTTCCTATGGTCATCGCCATTCCCAGATATCCCAACGCTTGGCCCAGATATTCCTGCCCGACTGTATCAACGAGAAGCGCAATTCCCACAGTCCACACAACCGCGGCAGATGCTCCTTGAAAGAGACGCCCGACAATCCATAAAGCAAGATTCGTCCCGACGCAAAGAAGAGCAGTGGCGGCGGCGAGAACCACCAGTCCCCCAATAAAGGGCCACCATCGCGACTGGAATTTATCGGCCAGGTACCCACAGATGGCTAAGAGGAAATCAGTCGGTATGTATCGTACAATGGCTCAAAAATTGGAGAAACCCACGTGAAACTGCTAACAAAGATACTCCGTAAAGAGACAGCAAGGTCGATTGCCACGATTGAACTGAGTCACGGTAAGCTGGAGCAATCCGTCGAATAACCATAAAAACATACCATCGGCGTCGGACATCCCAACTCTATCACGCAGGGCCGTTGGGGCCACGGGCACAATCTGCGAGGAAGGTCAATATAAGCTGTCGGGGAAATTCCCGCCACTAATGCCCCGGAGCCCAAGCGTACCAACCCATACATGAAGACATCCTGTCAAAAGGCCAACCGTCAGCAAACATAACCAGAAATCGGTTGGATGATGTCCTGTACCGTGAAGACGGCGAAGCAAACCACGAAGCAGATGAACGCATCGGAGGTCCTCCACTTGAGAAATCTGGGTGGTTGCTGCTGCGCCTGGTTTGACCACAAACCACACAGATCCCGCACCATTTTGTTAATGTCTGTTCTCGATTTGAGACAAACATCTATTCAGAATCTCCTTCAATTGAATGACGTAAGAACAACCGTTTTCTCCTTTTTTTCTTCGAATCGTCCTGAGCGTACACCTAGACGGAGAAAAAGAGCGAGAGTGAAACAGACGGAGGGAAATGAGAATCTAAAGTGGATGTTAGGAGATACAGGTCTCATGTTGATCAATCAAGGAGTGTCTGCAAGGGGGAGAACTGATAATATGATGGCGGGAATCCGCGAGGCTCGGCCTTTGTGCCTGGAGTCGTGGAGGAATGTTTGAAGTATAATAATCAGGATTCGTCCGGCTCCTTCCACCACTACGGAGTCGACATTTTGAAGTGAACTGGCCTTGGCCGACTTGGCCGACTCGCTGGCTTATGCTCTTGACATCTTATACGCGCGGCCGCGCCGGTAAATGACAGGATAAAAGGCTATTCGTGGTCTCATTCCATAGCATTGACTCTTGTCAAGGGTTGACAAGGGGTGTTCAAAGTCTATACATCTCGCTGCGGCTTTTAATCCCATCAAATACACAGGTGTTGTCCAAGGGAACATACTGCCTGGTTATAACCTTGAGGGCCTCCTGTGCGACTAGCCCTCCTGTGAGGGCAGACACATTGTGCAATTCACCGCCTTGCGTTCGCCGAAGCTCTTGAGTTCTCTGAACAATTCGCTGTTTGGTCTCCTCGTTGATGGCCGCCGACGCCTCCAACGTAAGGGACTGAATCACCCGATCCACTCCTGCCTCCCACGCGAGGGCGGAATCCAACGCTTTCTCGTTTTGCTTGCCGCTCTGTATGTCGGTGATTATACTATCAAGAATATCGAAGCCGAGGAAAGCAGATACCAGTGACTCAGGGTCACCCAGAGCATTGTTGATGGCTTTCACAGTGTACTTCTCACCGTTCAATTGAGGAAGGTCACGACCATGGATGACCTTGATATGAGCCGCATTCTTACAGAAGACTTCAATATCCTTGTCCGCGATCTGCGCAGGCCGGGGGCTGAGTTCTGCTTCAAGCCTCCGAACGACTTCAATGACCTCTGCCATATCTTTTCGTGCCTTCGACTTGTAAATGTTCTGCAGCGACACGTAGTCGGCTGACTGTGCTTTCATGTCAGGCAACGAGCCTGGCAGCGGGAGTACGTTGTGTTTCGTGTAGAATTCACGGATAGCTGATGCGATGAGCCAGAAATCCGCCGTTTCCGAGGTCAGATTGTTGCACTCGTCCATCTCGAAGATCTCGCGGATTGAACTCCGCAAAGTGAAAGGGTTCAGTGACTTCAGGACTGCGGCCACGGCCTCATCATAATTTTCCTCGCCACCTTCAGGATTGGCCGTCCGTGCGCCAGACCGCACTAGATCTCTGAATGCAGTTTTCTCTTTGTAGTTGGAGGGGACATTTCCGTCGTGGGTCTCCTTCCACTTTTCCAGATAGTGAAGCAAGAGTAAGATGTAAGGTACATGACCATGTTGATGATCGTCCAGAGTCTCTAGATTACTAATGCTAGCCAGAGTAGCTGCCAGTTCAGGCCAGGGGTTGAGCAAGCGTAGATCCTGCGTGCTTTCGGGGTCCGGATGTGTCTCTACTATGGGGAAAACAGCCGGAAGCTGGAGAGAAAAGGTGGAGTAGAAACCCACTGAGCGCGTATACAGGACGGGGATGCCAAGAGCTTTGGCAGCACTGCTGAGAGTGATCAGAGTGGACTTGTTTGCCGGGCCTGAGACCAGAACCAGTTTGAATTGTGGTAGGAATTCAGGGTCTTGCAGAAGCTCGGTGACCGGCTGCCGGGTGATTGCCGTTAGCACTGGGACCATGAGAGAATAGGAAGCTTCTTACAGGTGCAATATACCTTGGATTCAGAGTTTCCTTCTACGTCGGGGTTTAGTTCTTTCAGCAAGCGACAAGTCTCCTGGGCTCGAGACTTCCCTAGACTGTCCTCCTCGAGGAAGAAGTTGACCCCAAGGTCAGGCTCCGTTACCATCGCAGGGTCCACGATGGTGAAGCCGCCAATGCCAGGAAGCACGAGGTTCTTGAGGGTCTCCACTCCAACTACCCCTGAGACGCCGGTGCTCTGTTTACCCCATGGGCCATCGGAGTTGACTAGAAGTACACGTGCTTCCTCGAGCGCTTGTTGGCCACTTGCAGCCCAGAGCCGCAGTTGCCGGTCGTATTTCCTCTCCTTGGATGATGGCCCTACCAGGGCACCGGGGAAAGCTTCAGTCATGAGGGGCTATCGTCTGATAAGCGGAGCAGATCGGCTCACAATGCTCACAAAATGCTGAGTTGAGTCGAGCTTGTAGAGGCGGTGAGAGGCTCGAGCTGTATCAACCAAGCCTTGTGAATCGGAGATCTAAGAGCCAACACTGAGGTCTTCTGTAGTCTGGCTGTAGCTGGTGATGTGTGATGTGTGATGTGTACTACTAGGTAGTTCACTGATGGCAGTGGTTGGGAGCACTTGTTCAGCGCTGACACGTGATGAATGCACGCACGGATCAGGCAGAAGGGTTTTACACCTGAGGCACGAACGACTATGACGAAACACAACCCCGCCGGGCCAAAATGTCCCTCTCCATAACAATCAATAACTTAGTTACTCGTTTGCAATAAATAGAACAGACTCAACGCCACCATTGAACAACATTGCCAGCTTTAGAGGTGTCAGTTGGCAGCTAGTATGGCGGGGTTAGTTCCTCGGGGCAGTCTCAACAATATTCTGTGAGTGGCGCATCAATTAGCAGCTCTCAAAAAGTTCTACCTTATGCTGGCTGCAGTGCCCTTTCCATCCACCCCACCGGCGGCGGGCACCACTGGTCCGTCCAGTCCGTATTCCGCAGTACCTAGCCTCTTTCTTCCTCCCCTCCCCCGATCTGGCAGTTTTAAGCCCCTCCCGAGTCCTCCGTCTAGCCCGGACTATTAATACGAATTGCAGAACCCGGTCGACTTCTTCTCTTTCTGCGCTGCTCAATCATCCTTGTAATCAATCTAGACGACGCCTCGTCCGTCTCTCCCCACCTCCTCCCATCTCAACCGTCCTTTTCGCGTCTTCGCATCGCCGGAACTCCACCATGGCCAGCGTCAGCGTCATCGAAGCCGCAAAGCGCGCCGCCGGCAAGGCGGCCGTGGAGAACCACTACCCCAAGGACGCCAAGTTCGTCGGCATCGGTAGCGGGTCGACCATCGTCTACGTGGTCGAGGCCATCAAGGAGTCCGGGGTCGACACCTCGGCGACCAAATACGTGCCCACGGGCTTCCAGTCCAAGCAGCTGATCCTGTCGGCCGGGCTGACGGCCGTCGACTTCGACTCCCTCCCAGAAGGCACGGTGCTGGACGTGGCCTTCGACGGCGCCGACGAGGTGGACGACGATCTCAACCTGATCAAGGGCGGCGGGGCTTGTCTCTTCCAGGAGAAGATCGTGGCTCTGCAGGCCAAGGAGTTCATCTGCGTTGCTGGTGCGTCGTTCCCATTTCCTTCCTTCCTTCCTTCCTTCCTTCCCTTTGAAAACACCCACCCCGTATGGATGATGCCACAAATCACTGACTTCATGTGTGTTTTTCCCTCGCGCGCAGACTCCCGCAAACTCCAATCGCGCCTCCTGTCCAACTGGAAGTACATCCCCATCGAAGTCGCCCCGATTGCCGCCGCTCGCGTCCTCACGGCCCTCCGCGAGATCGGCAGCATCCAGCCCGCGCTCCGGCTGAACACCGACCCCAAGCAAGGCCCTTTGAAAACTGACCAGGCGTTCTACATCATCGACGCCCCCTTCCCGACGCTGTTGACGCAGTCCGACGTCGCGGCCGGCAAGGAAGGCAGCGGGAAGGACGGCATCTGGGAGGTCGAGGCCCTGTCGCGAGCGATCAAGCAGATCCCCGGTGTCCTGGACGTCGGGATCTTCTCTGGCCTGACGGGCCCGCAGGCCCGTGCCCTGGGCGGCGTTGGCGGGCAGAAGCCCATTGCCGCCTACTTCGGGATGCCGGACGGTTCTGTCTCCGTCAGGAAGGCGGCCGCATGAGTGGAATTCTGTAAAAAAATCCCATGTATGACGATTTACTCCATTGATAAGATATAAAATGATACCACTTGAACATTTAGCATCATTGACTACTTTACGTTTACCTGACTAGTCTCCAGTAACTGTACAACCCCGAGACGGGTTGTTGTTGGAGGTGGACTCAGTGTGCAGTCATCACAGGATATAGATTTCATGATTTAGGTTTTAAGCGTAAGGTAAGGTGGATTTATTTAGCACCCTTGCCCTTGGCCTCCGTCTCACCCAGCTCGCGCACGAAGATCTTGACCGTTCCCTCGGCCACGTCCTCCTTGCCATCCTCGAAGCCCGGGCTGATGGCAATGGCAAGGTACTTGCCGTTGGCGCTGAAGTCCACGGCGGCCACGCTGGACGGCAGCTTCTGGTACTGGCGGATTCTGCGCTTGGCCATGCCGTCCCACAGGGCGACGACGCCGTCGCCGCCGCCGGAGGCAAACGTGCCGTGCACGGGGTGGAAGGCGAGGGTGTTGACGGGGTAGACGATGTCGACCTCGTCGGCGGTCTGGCGGTGGCACTTGAAGGCGTACTTGCGGGCCTGGGACTCGGCGGAGGGGTCGAACCACTCGACGGCGACGCGGCCCTCGATGCTGGAGGAGGCGTAGCCGGCGTCGTCGGGCATGCAGGCGACGCACCGGGTCATGAACTTCAGGCTGCTCTCGCGGCGCTGCCAGGGCTCGACCTCCACCTTGTTCAGCGCGCCGGGGGCCGAGCCCTCCGACTGGGCGGTGAGGAGGGCCAGCGCCTTCAGGTCGTAGATGTGCAGCGCGCGCGACGCCATGGCGACGACGAGTTTCGTGGCCGTCAGCGACATGGAGAACGGCTTGGAGGGGAGCGGGATGACGGCGGGGAGCGTGGCGGGGTCGTTGGTCAGGTGCACATGCAGCGTGCAGTCCCACGAGGCCGATATTACGAGGTGGTGGTCCCGGCTGTAGACGACGCTGCGGACACCGGCCTCGTGCGTGCTGAGGACGGTCTGCGTGGACGAGGCGACGTCGATTCTGTTCGGTCGTCAGTAAACCTGAGTAGGGCAAGATGGGAAGCCCGCGTCAACGAAGTAGCACCAGCATCATTGTCAAAATCCAAACAAAAGGCGTAACTCACTTCCGCACATCCCAATCCAGCCCGGCCGTGTAGATCTCATCCTCCGTTGCGCCAAAGCACACATCTAGCACCGGCGCGCGATGCTCGAATTTCTGCAGCAATTTGCCCTCCCCTACCGCCCCATTCTCATCCCGGAGATCGTACAGGTAGACATTCTTGTCCCACGACGAGACAACGATGCGCGTGGAGTCGGGGTTGGGCGAGAACTTGAGCGCGGATATAGCATCCGTAGGCGGGGACGCGACGACGAATTGATCTGCAGGCTAGTTAGCACGAGCTGTCCCAGAACCCCAATCAGCCCAGAGAGATGCAAACTGACTAGATGCCATGATACTTTCTGTAAATTCCCTAGGCTGGGGAATCTCAAAGCTTTCGAACGAAATAACCGTTTGTTGATCGGTCCCGGCGTCATCGAAGCTCCGTCGCCCGGCGGCGCCTTCAGATCCGTTTTCTGTCGCCACTGACCGCCCTCCATGGAATATTCTCCCCCGCCATTTGCATCATCACGGTTTCGATAGCCATCAATAGATCTTTTGGGGACAAGCTGCCAGAGAGAAAGCAATCATGCCGTTCGCACAGCTGGTGATCGGGCCCCCAGGGGCCGGGAAGTCGACCTACTGCAACGGCATGCAGCAGTTCCTCGGGGCCATCGGCCGCAAGTGCTCGATCGTGAACCTGGACCCCGCGAACGACCAGACCTCGTATCCGTGCGCGCTGGACGTCCGCGACCTGGTGACGTTGGAGGAGATCATGAGTGAGGATCAACTGGGACCGAATGGGGGCGTGCTATATGCGCTGGAGGAGCTGGAAGAGAACTTTGATTTCCTTGAGGAGGGGCTGAAGGAGCTCGGAGGTATGCGCGCCATCCCGATCTACCAAGCCCAAGGCAAAACCTACTATAGAGACACAAATGTACTGATACTGGTATCCTCAAACATGTAGATGACTACGTTCTATTCGACTGCCCCGGCCAAGTTGAGATCTTCACACACCACTCCTCCCTGCGCAATATATTCTTCAAGATCCAGAAACTGGGGTATAGAGTATGCGCCGCGATTCCCACTCCATGCGAGTCTACTTCCAAAAACTAACATGAGCGCAAACTAGATGATCGTGATCCATCTCATCGACTCCTACAACCTCACCCTCCCCTCGATGTACATTTCCGCCCTCCTCCTCTCGCTGCGCGCCATGCTGCAGATGGACCTCCCGCACCTGAACGTGCTCACCAAGATTGACAACCTGGCCAACTACGCCCCCTTACCCTTCAACCTGGACTACTACACCGAGGTGCAGGACCTCAGCTACCTGCTGCCGCACCTGGAGGCCGAGTCGTCGCGTCTGGCGCACGAGAAGTTCGGCCCGCTCAACCAGGCCATCGTCGACCTGGTCGAGGAATTCGGGCTCGTCGCCTTCGAGACGCTCGCCGTCGAGGACAAGAAGAGCATGATGAACCTGCTGCATGCCATCGACCGCGCCAGCGGGTATGTGTTCGGGCCCGCCGAGGGCGCCAACGACACTGTCTGGCAGGTGGCGGTGCGGGAGGGGTTGGGTCAGATGGATGTGCGGGATGTGCAGGAGCGGTGGCTGGACGCGAAGGAGCAGTACGACGAGCATGAGCTCCAGCAACTGGAGGCGGAGGCGAAAGCGCGCGAGCAGGCGGCAGGAGGAGACCACCCGGGCGACGAAGACGACGACGACGAATACGGCGATCTGGGCCGAGGCTCGATACCGAACAGCGGGGTGAAGGTGATACGAAAGTCATGACATTTTCTTCGGTGTTTCCAAAAAAAATATATCTCTACATTGTTTAATAAGGGTATCTCTAATATATCAAAACCGCAAGCCAAGGTACAGCACAACACAGTTCCCCACCTCCACAAAAGCACAGCACTCACACCCTCACAACCCATCATCACTCAAACCCTCCTCCATAACATCATCCACCTCAACACCGCCTAAAACCCGCTCCGCAAACCCGCCCACCAACCCCTCCAAAACCCCATCATCATCATCAGCACCAGCACCAGCAGCACCACACCCACGCACCTTCAAAACCTCCCTCCTCGCCCGCCGAATCGCCTCCTCCTCGGCCTTCCGCATCGTCCCAGACACCCGCACAACGCGCACAACACACCGTCTCGTCAGCGCCGGATTCCGTCCTCCTCCGGCTTGATCAACTTCAGGCACGGCCTCCAAACACGTCAACGCCATCCACACCAACCGGAACGACGCGCGGGGACACCGGATGATCGCCGTCGATGTAGCCGGGGAAAGGTATTTGACTGCCGCACACACAGAGAGACACACGGTTAGCTTGGAGCATAGCAAATCCCCCTCCCACGAACACCATCACAACCAAGAAAGAAAAGAGGGGGGGAAGACATACCACTAACACCGCCGGCACCAGCCCCGCCCAGCCGGCCGACGCCCCAATCGCCGAATAACTCGGCGACCTGTTCGCGGACCAGTTTAGCCAGCAGGCTCGGCGTCAAAGCGTCGGAGGTGGGCGCGTGGATCTGGAGTTGCGGGATCGTTGACGAGGACGAGGAGGATGTAGAGGCGGGCGGGTGACGACGGGGCCAGGTGGTCGGGTCCGGGTAGAGGATGTCGAGGAGGAGGTAGCGGTGTTTGATGCGGACCATTTTGGTGCGGTGGTAGCGGGATGGGGGTTTGAGGTGGAAGAGATCGGTGGATATTCAAGTGTGGCAGAGGTTGGAGTGTGAGTTTAAGGTTGATTGGACGGGGTTGAGGTCGCGTAGTGTTGTGGTCGACTTCGACAGCAGACCTCTTTGTTTGTTCAGAGGGATCGAGGTTTCTTGCGCGTCAAAACCTCGAAGCTGTGGTTGAGCGCTGGACCGGCGATGAACCTGTTGGCGGTGATGGGGTTGATTTTCTGCCGGATATGCTCGGCCAGGCATGTGGGGCGCCGGGCTCCTGTCCCCGCCAAGATAACCACCATCGAAGATGCATTTAGCTGTTGGATTATCTGGGTAATGTTCATTTTAGGATTGATTTTTATATGTTCGGGTCAAAGCATCGTTCAAAAATCATTTCAGAATCATAATTTACGATTGATTATTCTATGAAAAGCACCTTGTCTGAATCATCGCGTAAAATTCATCAACCTTATCAGCTAGTCATGCCACACGTGCCACTACAGATTGTAAGTTGGAAAGGAAGAGGTATGAAGTGAACCAAGCCAATGCAGAAAAAAGAAAAACAAGCCATCATAACTCCGACGTCAGCTGGGACGGATTTTATGACTAGGTCATGAAATGCAAGTATATTAAAAGGGGATGGTAGGAAATTAGACGGTGACCTCAACACGGCCTTCCGAGCCACCCTTCTGGAGGGCGGGGAGGAGGTAGGTGATGTCGTCCCAGGGGTGGCGGTAGAGACCGGTGCGCAGTCTCTTCTGGTCGAGGTAGTGGGCAATGAGACCGATCGAGCGACCAAGGACGAAGAGACCGTTGAGGACACCCATCTTCATGTAGTCCTCGGTCTCCTCGGGGGAGAAGGCACCGCAGTGGCGCATGAGATCAACGAAGCAGACAGCAATGCAGCCGTCGACGTTGAGGATCAGGTTGTCCTTCTTGGAGGTGGTGACGCTCTCGACGGCGAGGGCGTAGTCGAGGAGCTTGGTGCTGGGGAAGTTCTTCTTGACGTACTCCTTGACCAGCTCGACACGGAGATCGGGGTTGTTGCGGGACTTGATGCGGTGACCAATACCGGGGACTAAAGGCAGTCAGTACATAATTCTGCAATGCACGAAACAATGGTTCACATACTCAGCTTGTTCTCCTTGCGCATGGTGTCGACGAAGTCACGGGGGCTCATGCCCTTGTCGAAGGCCTTGGTGAACTCCTCAGCAGCACCGTCCAGGGCACCACCGAAGCGGGAACCAATGGTCAGGAGACCAGAGACCAGGGCACTGATCAGGTCCTTACCAGCACGGGTGGTGATGATGGTGTTCATGGCACCAGAGACGGCAGGACCGTGATCAGCAGTAAGCATGAGAACCATCTCCAAGAACTTGCTGGCGTAGGCAGGCAGGCGGCGACGGAACCAAAGGAGGGACATGACACCACCGATACCAATGTCCTCCTTGAAGACATCGGAGATGGGCATACCAGCGTACAGGAGCTCCTGGCCACGGTCGTCGGAGATGGTGGAGATGAAAGCAGCGGGCTTACGGATGAGACCGAGCTCCTGAGCCCAGGAGTAGTCAATGGGGATCTTGGGGGGAACGGGCTCCTTCTGGGGTACAATGACGCCCTTCTGGACCTGCTCGTTGTAGACCTGGGCAAGAGTCTGGGGAAGCTCCTCGAAGGTCTCGGGGACGTGGATGCCGGCCTCACGCATGGCCTTGTTCTTGGCGACGGCGGTCTCCAGGTCGGAGTTGGCGGAAGCACCGGCGTGACCGAACTGAACCTCGGTCTTGAACATGCTGGCGCAGGTACCGATGGCCCAGGCGACAATGGGCTTGGTGATGGTGCCGTTCTTGACGGCCTCGATGACACGGTACTCCTCAACACCACCGACCTCACCAAGGAGGACGAGGATCTTGCACTCAGGCTCGGCCTGGTAACGGAGAAGGTGGTCGATGAAAGTGGTACCGGGGTAACGGTCACCACCAATGGCAACACCCTCGTAGACACCGTCGGTGTTCTGGGAGATGATGTTGTTCAACTCGTTGGACATACCACCGGACTTGGAGACGTAACCGACGGAACCCTTGCGGTAGAGCTTGGAGGCAACAATGTTGTCCATCATACCACCAGTGTTACCGATCTTGAAAGCACCGGGCTTGATACCACCGACGGTAGCAGGGCCGATGATGGTGATGCCCTTCTCCTTGGCAGTGACGAGGATCTCACGAGCACGCTACCACACGGTTAGTCTCAATGGCCCACATGATACGGATTCAGCAAGTCGAACGTACTCTCTCGGGGACACCCTCAGCAATGATGGCAATGCTCTTGATCTGGGGGCACTCCATGAGCTCCATGGTAGAGCTGTAGACGGAACGGGAAGAAGCGAAGTTGACGACGGTGTCAACGTCGGGGTGCTTGGCCATGGCCTTGGAGACATCCTGGTAGACGGGGAGGAGAGTCTCGCTGGTACCCCAGTACATCTTGCTGACGAACTGGCCACCGAAAGTGTAGATGATACCGGCGACGGAGGGAGTGCTACGCTTGCAGATGAAGTCGAAGTCCAGCATACCCTGGACAGCCCGGGGCTGCATACCACTGTGGCCGTTGTCAATGACGAGCCACGGATGAACCATCAAGTGGGACTTACTATACGAAACATCTCGTCTTGTTGTGGAAGAGGGTGTGGTTGAGGGGAGAAAGCACACGGCTGGGGGGGTCGAAGCGGGTGATGTTGTCGTTGGCGGAGGCGCCGTTGGCAGTGTTGATCAAAGGAGCACCGTTAGGCATGATGGCTGATACTCTGCGAATTCGACTGTAGGTCAGCACTGTGGTATAGGTATAGCATAGTGGGTGAGATGGAACCAGATCAAGGGAGTCGAATAGACGGGCATTGGAGACAATGGATGGGAGATGCTTACCTGTCAACAGAGCTTGGACTGATGGGGAAATAGAATTAAGGAAGAGGAAGGGATATTAATATGTAGGTATGAGTGGTATAGAGGAAGGAGGGAGTAGGAGAACGAGAAGTCACACCAGATGTCGCGACCTGACGGAGGAGGAGGATGAGGAGGGGAACAAAAGGGAAGGGAACAGGAAGAGAGTAATGCAATCAAGGAGATGGAGAAACGAGAATCGGCGAGACAGATGAATGGACTGATGGGGAAGAGGCGGATGATGGGTGAAAAACAAAAAAAAAATGCAAGTTTCTAAAAAAAATTAAAATAAAAAAAATAAAGCGCAGGAGGAGGGGGACGATATCGGGAGCTTGATGGGATGGGGGGGGGGGAGTAAAGAATTATGGGGCACTGGTGTCGTAACTCCATTACTTACAATACCACTGGTGGTATGAATGGGGTGGAAAGTTGGTAACGTTCCGTACTGGAAGCCGGGTTCGAACCGTCACTCCGTCAACTCTGGCTCTTTCTGGCTCAAACAGCCGCCGCCGTTCAGTTGGGGAAACCCGAGTTGCGCAGCAATCCATGATAGGGTCATCCACTACTTGAATAGGTACTCGACAGATCCGGAATACTTCGAGAATGCGACTCTGTTATCATTGACTGCCGGGGTTGGAATGCGACAGAGCAATCATCACTACTATCATCATTATCCTCCTCCTCCTCCTCGGAGTCTTCTACGATAGGAACGGAGTACGGAGTTTATGGCATCAGGTGAATCCCTCTACACTCTTTACTCGTATCAACCGCGCCTTCATCAGGACTTCGACTTCCCGCAGTAATCCCGTCAGCAATAGCGACAAAGTACGGAGTTTCCAGTCAGTATCTGAAGTACTCGTGAATCTTCTATCCCGCGGGTTCGAAGCGAAACCCGCCAAAATCAATGATTGGAACATCGGATTGTCTCGACAGTGCACCGCCATCGAGAAATCGACCGATACCCATTCCGTCTTCCGAAAATCCCTTGGTTCATTTCGTTCATTTCAGGTGCTAGCATTATTGAGCTGGTAGCCTGGTTGGGGTTAGAGCGGAGTGGAGCCTGGTGGGATCCGCAGACTGGAGGCCAGGGACATGGATGAGATGGGATGGGATGGGATGGAATGGGATGGGATGGGGTGGTCTGGTCCGATACGTAGACTACTACGGAGTATGCACGAGGCCTGTAAGTTGGCTGGGATCATTGCGTTTGTTTTGTCTCCCCTCACCGAAAGATTGAGCAAGCGGTATGAGGTGGAAGTGAAGGATTGGAGGATGGAGATTGAATCTGGAATCTGATCGCAAGAGGAGCTGCCTACTTGGCAGTGAGTACTCCGTAGTAGTACTCGGGATGGTATGTACAGTGCACCGTTGAGTCCGATGGGTCGATCGTAGGTTTGCTATGATTGTTGTTGCTTGTGCAGTAACTTACGCAGTAGTACTCCGTACTCCGTAATTGTCGGCTCTGCCCCTCATTTCCATCGTAGTCGGCAGCCTTTCCTTATCTTATCGGAGTCAGTGGCAGCCTCAGGTACCGACCGCGGCGCGGACTTTGAAGAAACTGGGGAAAAAGAAGCGTGGCCGTGAGAACCCAGGGAAATTGATTACATCATCGTACAGCATGTCATTCTCTCCATGTTTCTACGGAGTAGTATGTTTCGATGAAGGTTCTCTACGGAGTACCATTCTTGGGGAAATCATCTGGCCACCGTGCTGCAATTGCTTCCGGTTTCGTACGAGACCATGGCCAACAAATTGACCACGTACCCAACAGATTCTTTTGCATACCGGTAGGTAGTTACCTAGTAGTTTCTAGGGGGCGTGGTATTGAGGCTACAGCGTAGGGCAGATACTGCGGAACTAAAAGAACTAAAATACTCTCATACTCTGGATTGACCCTCCCGAGGATCCCCAACGCCCGCCAATCCAGGATGACAGGCTGGGTCTTCGCCCGGCCCGCTTTTTCTTACGGAGGCTCCACTGCATCTCAACAACTCCCACAACTCCCCTGGTATTCCTGGTATCGGCCACAATAGCCTCTGGTATCGCCGTGTTTTGGTCATTTTGGCTCCAGGAAACCAGAGGGAAATCCGTTTCAGACGATCATTCCATGCACTGATCCATCCCAATTCCTACTCTGGCGGCGGCCAGTCCAGAAAATTTTATTCCACCTGCTCCTTTCATCGGACACTGCATACTCAGTATCATCACCGAGTCGACTAATCGGCGTCCGTCTCAGCTTCTTGTTCCGTTTGGTTCCTTTTTTTCTCATTTTCTCCCTCTCCCGACCTCTTTTTACTCTTCCTCTTTTGCCCACTTGACCCTCCCCTCCCCCCCTCCCCCCCTCCTCCTACTCTCTACTCAACCCACCCCTCCTCCCTCCGATCTATTTCCAGTGACATCTCGCATCTGGTAATAATCCCTCTACCAACCTACGAAAAATATCTCTGGTCTTCCTCTCTTCCTCCTCTTCCTCTTGACTCTTCCTCCTACTCTCTCAATTATCAGGTATATTCTTAATCCGGGGTTGACTTCCCATATACACCCTCTATATCCTCCATTGTTGTTGTTGTTGTTGTTGTTATTGTTCTCCGCCTCTTACACATACTTCAGTTTTTTAATTCTATCCTCCCTCTCCTCCTCTTACGATCATCATGTCCGCCAAATCGATTCTCGAGGCTGATGGCAAGGCCATCCTCAACTACCACCTCACTCGTGCCCCCGTCATCAAGCCGACTCCTCTCCCTCCTTCCTCCACGCACAACCCTCCCCCCAAGCTCGCCTCCCTCTACTTCCCCGAAGATGAGTCCGTCAAGGACGTTCTCGACCAGGCTGAGGTCCTCTACCCGTGGCTGTTGACCCCCGGCTCCAAGTTCGTGGCCAAGCCCGATCAATTGATCAAGAGACGTGGAAAGAGCGGCCTGTTGGCCCTGAACAAGACCTGGGCTGAGGCTCGGGAGTGGATTGAGGCTCGCGCTGGCAAGGAGATCCAGGTCGAGACCGTGGCCGGCTACCTCCGTCAGTTCCTGGTTGAGCCTTTCGTGCCTCACCCCCAGGAGACTGAGTACTACATCAACATCCACTCCGTGCGTGAGGTAAGGACAATCGCAATTCACTTGCCACATTCCGCTCGAATGCTAATTCAGAACAGGGTGACTGGATTCTCTTCACTCACGAGGGTGGTGTCGATGTCGGTGATGTCGATGCTAAGGCTGAGAAGCTCCTCATCCCCGTCAACCTCAAGAACTATCCTTCCAACGAGGAGATCGCTGCTACTCTCCTGAGCAAGGTCCCCAAGGGTGTCCACAACGTCCTCGTTGACTTCATCTCCCGCCTCTACGCCGTCTACGTGGACTGCCAGTTCACCTACCTCGAGATCAACCCTCTGGTTGTCATCCCCAACGCGGATGCCACCTCCGCTGAAGTCCACTTCCTCGATCTGGCTGCCAAGCTCGACCAGACCGCTGAGTTCGAGTGCGGTACCAAGTGGGCCATTGCCCGCAGCCCCGCCAACCTGGGCATGCCCGTCATCAAGAGCGAGAAGGTCAACGTCGATGCTGGTCCTCCCATGGAGTTCCCCGCTCCTTTCGGTCGTGAGCTGAGCAAGGAGGAGAAGTTCATCTCCGAGATGGACGCCAAGACCGGTGCCTCCCTTAAGCTGACCGTCCTCAACGCCAACGGCCGTGTCTGGACCCTGGTTGCTGGTGGTGGTGCCTCCGTTGTGTACGCCGATGCCATTGCCTCTGCTGGCTTCGTCAGCGAGTTGGCCAACTACGGTGAGTACTCCGGTGCTCCCACCGAGACTCAGACCTTCAACTACGCCCGCACCATCCTCGACCTGATGCTGCGTGCCCCCACCCACCCCGAGGGCAAGGTCCTCTTCATCGGTGGTGGTATTGCCAACTTCACCAACGTTGCCTCGACCTTCAAGGGTGTCATCCGCGCTCTCCGCGAGGTTGCCCCCGTCCTCAACGAGCACAAGGTCCAGATCTGGGTTCGTCGTGCCGGTCCCAACTACCAGGAGGGTCTCAAGAACATCAAGGCCGTTGGTGAGGAGCTTGGCCTCAACATGCACGTCTACGGCCCCGAGATGCACGTCAGTGGTATCGTGCCCCTTGCCCTTCTCGGCAAGAAGACCGACATCAAGGAGTTCGGTTCCGCGTAAGAGGAAAAGGAGGGTCTTTTCTGCTGATTCCCCTTTCTATTTTTTAATTTAATCTTCCTATGAGATTCTTATTTCTGAATGCATGGCATGATACGGTTGTTTTACGTCATTCTGTTATTTTACTCCTTTTTTTTTTCTTTTCTTGACGGCACACACATGGATTCCCCGGCTTTGCTTTGATTTCAAGTGCAAGGGAAAGACGGGACTTGATCCGTTCTGGAGTTGAAACACTGCTTAGACTTGTGATAGTCGTGAATACAACGATACGATCTGTTGTCTTTGGTCTGTAGGCCTGTAGGCCAGATAAATGTTTTGGCTGGTATCCGCGATTAGAGCCATCCCCGCATGAACTAGGGGAGATAGTAGATTCGAAAGGGGAAAAGACAGCAAGGCAGCGCAGCCCACCCACGCATGCAAGGATGACTTGTCAACCCTCCAACCGATGAAGTAGACAGGAGAAACCAGGCCGATGCAAACCGCTGCTGCTGCTGCTGCTGCTGCAATATGTGTTGTACATCCAGCCATCCATTCCAACAATCGCGCAAAGCAAGTTCCCCTGTATTTATTTCCCCGACATGCGGTGTGCACAATCCACATCCACATAGTACAGCACAGAGGACACAAAGAACACATTAGACACATGTGCAGCGCAGCGCAGCAACGCATGTGTGTGCTGTACAGTACGTCCAGCTCCCCCTCACCAAGCAACCGACCAACCAACTGACCAACTAACCAACCAAATTGCCAAACCCGATGCCCAGTTAAAACTGAACGTACAGTAGAGTGTAAATTAGTGTGAGGTGGGAGAGACACAACGTACAAACAATACCATGTGCCCATGTCTGAGCATGGTGTCTGTGTCCGTGTACGGTAAGTTAAGTCAAATCCAATACGAAACTCGTATGTAACGCCCCAAACAGACGTCCAAATAAACTACACCTCCCCTCTCGTGCCACAAGATAAGATCCGAATTCTTCTCAGATCCACATGGGTAGGAGATCTGTTCTGCAGAGATCAAGACTAAGATCAAGATCAAGATAAAGGAAAGGGGGGAAAAGATTTTCGGGCAGGGGTGGATGGTGCGGTGGGAAACGAGGAGGAGGTTCCGTACGTCCGAGGCGGGAGGCGGATGGATGGAAGCCCAGGGCTTCCTTAGGTAGTAGGTAGGTATCTTGGGAAACGGCCGGGGGGATAAGGGCGGTTTTGTTTGGTTTGCATTTCTTTGGGTTGCGTCTATATACTGACACTAACTGTGCTGGGAGATGTACTGTTGGTGGATGTCTGGGGGTTTGTGGGAATTGCGGTGGTTAACTTACTGATGTTATCAGGTAGAGGGTTGGGTTCTGGTTGTACTGTACTCCGTAGTGGGTTTGGAAAGGTAACTAACTTACATACTTCTTGTCTGTGCTTGTGCTTCGGCTATTGCTGTTGACGTTGACGACGCAGGAGGAGGAGGCGAAGCTGCTGCTGCTTCTCTTCGTCTTTCCTTTTGGGTAAATAGTTATGTGTTGAATCTTAATGAATCCTTTCTTGCACGCTCGTATGTTGTTGATGTAAACACTTCCGTTGCCCTGTATATATCTTCCACAGAGTTTGCAAGTTGAGTAGGAAATAAACAACCAACAACCCCTCTGACCCCTTCTCCTACCTCCTCAATCAAACGCTTATTCGAATACTTGTAGTCAAGATACGGAACTGCCACATCCTTAAACATTTATCATACTTTCTTGAGCAGCACAGCCTCATAGTGACACCACGATACTTCATGCATGTCTTGACCTGAAAATGTAGAACCGATCAACACCCATCCTTCCATCGGCCGCAACGACCAAGCCTTGGAGAACAAGGAGCAGCCACCACCCTAACGACAGTGTCATCTCAAGATAACTGGCCATCTGCTCTAAGTAAGTACATGTGCTGACTCGAACTAGTCTGGACTGACACGTAAGGAGCTATACCACGAGTCCGTCCTCGTGACCTCCAATGCGGACGAATTCGTCCTGGCAACACACCAGGATTTATTGGCTGATGACCTAAACTCCAGTGTTGCTGTTGCACAGCCGCACTGTTGAGACTCGTTTTAACTGTGGACAGGACGCGATGCATGAATATCATGTTCGTAAAGTCCTTACTGCTGAGCCGGGTTCCTACATATCGGATACCTATGTTTTACACAGGAGTGGCTGTTGGTCCCTGGATATCCGAGACGGTCAACATGAACGCACGATTGTGCATGATACGCCTTCCTCCACAGGCATGGTGTGGCATCTCATGAAGGCTAATGCGATACCTGCGGGCGACGAGTGATTGAACTAGTGCTCCGACTAAGACGGGTCTGATGCTAGGAGCTACGACAACAACAAGACGCCCCAAGAAAACATAACCAGATGTTCACAAGAGAGGAGATTATCATATCGTATTACATACGCTCATCGCGACAAACACCCCCAGACAAGACGAGAGCAAAGTAGTTGACAGGCGACAGAAGTACATCGTGTGGTATGCAAAAACAGTCATTTCACGCTTTCGGCAATAAATGCGCAGCAGAACAGGTGATAAGGGCCCAACACTAACACTAGGGAAAGCTCTCCATAGCGCGTTATCGGGCCTTTTTAATGGGGAGAGTTTTTTTCGAATGAGGAAGCTCTGAATGGCTGAGGCTCATGATTTTGCGGGAAAAGGGAAGTATAATACACGTTATAGGCGGCTTCGAACATCCGGAAAAACAGAAGACAACAAGACGTTGGACATTATTTGGCTAGTCCAATTTACTCGTTGATCTTGGCGAGGATCCTAGAGTAGTTGTACGGTCAGAATCCAGGTTGGCAGCAGTTGATGAATGAAGGGATGTACGTACTCAGAGTCGCGGTAGAGGGTGTACTCCTCCTCACCAACCTTGATGGGGCTACCACCGAACTATACCAGAGTCCTTGTTAGCCATATCCGGAAGAGCGCTGGAGCTGCCACAAAAACGATGCTCCTTCTGCCAAACCAGGCGATGTCCGAAACGTACCTGGGGGATGAGGACACGGTCGCCGACAGCAACGCCCATGGGGATGCGCTGGCCGTTACGGTCGACGGCACCGGGGCCAACGGCGAGAACCTTGGCCTCGTTCTGCTCCTTGACGCTGCTCTCGGGGAGGAAGATACCGGAGGCGGTCTTGGCCTCGGGCTTGACACGCTGGACCAGGACGCGGTCCAGGAGGGGAGCAAGGTTCTTGACGTTGCGGAGGAAAGACTGTATAGAGAAATAACAGTTTAGTAACAGGTTCAAGAGTCTAAGCTCGATGGTTGTGATGCTCAGAGGAATTGGCGATCCGGTGGAAACAGGCGGAAAAGTTCAATCGGAGCTCCAGGCAACAAAGACGGAGGGAGATATCCTACCATTGTGATGGTGATGTGATTGAGGGTGCTGAGCACAAGAGGCAGCGAGCAAATCAAAGAGGAGTGATTAAGGATGGAAGTGAGTCAAGACGTGGAGAGCAAAAGAAGAAGAAGAGGAAGCGGCCGGCCGGGGAAACGAAGATCTGATCTGGAGTCGCGAGAAATTTCCAGAATGCCAAGACCAACAAGCTTCCATCCTCTCTTGCTTTCTGCCGAGGACTCACCACCACGACTTTTCCTACGAGCTGTTCTTTGGTTTTCCTGAACATTGAAAGACAGAATACTGCACATTGTCTCGTGTGGACAGCCAGATACTTGACAGCCACCCGGTATACCTACAATTACCCCAGCATCTCCAGTCTGGCACATCATTACCCGCTCGCTCCCTTTCCCGAGCCGGCCAGACCGACTCCGGACCTGTCAAACCTTCTCGGTTCTTCTCAATGAATGGATTGCATATACCTTGGGAATTTTCTAACTCCATCCTACCATCCAACCATCCAAAATGCCACCCCCACATAGCCGTTATCGTAACAAGGTGACTGATACTTTCATGAAACCTAACTCTAACTACCATCTTCTGCCCCGTCCACGGCCACCTCCTCCGAAACCTCCTCCGTAACCCATCTGCTGTTGACCACCACCTTGACCCCCAAATCCAGGTTGACCCTGTTGTCCGCCGCCTGCGCCGGATTGCCCGCCCATGAGCGCCTGAGCATGTTGCATGAACGTCATGGGATCCATCGAGGCGGGATCCAGGCCTTGCGCCATCATGCTCGTGAGGATCCCCTGCATCATATCCGGCGACATGTCCGGCATGCCGGGCATACCGGGCATCGGAGGGGCCGCGCTGCTTGGAGGCACGCCTGGCCCCGGTGGACCACCGCCCATCGGCGGCATGCCCATCCCCAGGAAAGCCTGCATGTCGTCCAATTGTCTCTTCTGGTCCCCGATATCCTTGCGCAGCTCTTGCTGTTTCAACACGTAACTGGCCCATGTGAACTCATCAAACCCGTAGTTAAAGTAGTCTGTGATATCGGACCCCGGTCGCCGCCACGGCTTGTCATCTTCCGGAAAGTCCGCATCCATGTCAGTCAGTAGGATGGGCTTGCCTGTCGTCGGGTGGACGGGGTTGGCATGAACGTCGATCGTGGACACTTGGACTGGAGGATATGAAGAGCCCGGCCTTTGCGGTGCAGCCGGTACAGCGGGTCTTGCGCTGACGGGTACGGGCGTGGCGGATTCAGCTTTGGGCGTGGCGAGAGTGGGGGTGGAGGGTTTCGGAGCAGGAGGAGACTCTGCGGACGAGGGGCGTTGTGATTCTGCGCGTAGATTGGCATGGCGAGGATGTGGGCTGTTCGAGGGTTAGACAAGCTGTGGGAGCTATTCCCGGAGCTCGACTCACGCTTCTGGAGGTGGCGCATCGGCGGGCGCTTCAGTAATGATGTTGAAGTCATCCTAGAGCTTGAGTTAGACGGTCAAAATGTAGGTGCAGTGGTTTCGTAACCATACATCATCTTCATCCACCTCTATCTCTTCTTCCTCATATTCCTCTCCATAGTTATCCGCAGGAGGATTCTGGGCACCATTCTGATGCTGAGGAGCCGGCACCGTGTCGGCGGGATCGTAGAAATCGTCGTCTTCGTCGTCCATCATCTTGAAGAGCTGCAGGAGGTATGGAGTGAACGTATGTAACGAGGCGTAGCGGAAATGCGATCCTGTTTACGGCGATCCTGCGGAGATCGCACGGGCGGCGGGTTTGGCCTGTTTGCTCTGGCTTTGTTCGCTCGCGACGAGCTGCCAACCTTCAACGTCAATGAAAGAACCCCTCCCCTGGTCAAGTGATTCTCAGGTCAAAGAAAAGAAGCTATCGGAAGCTTGTTGGCTTGTTGGAGGTCTTACTGTGCCATTGACATTGTTGGCTTACGAGCCTCAATTCGACCACCCCGATCCGGAAACTCTCCCAATCACGTGCCGGTACGTCAGTCGTTTGCATGTGAGGAAGAACGACAAGCCACTTACACTCCATTCTAGATAGAACTCCAGAACATCCCAGCAATATGTCGAACTCAGAACAGCCCAGCCATGGCTCGACTCCGAGGTCCTTCACAAGCCAGACCGTCTCTGCCGAAGACTTACTCAAGTCGCAGACGGTTGGTCTGGTGCACCTATCCGATTTCCGCAAACGCCGCGCAGAGGTACTCGAGCAAAAGGAACGAGAGGCCCATGATAAGTCGCTTGGGAGAAGCTCAGCCGGTATTTCGAGAAGTGCCACTCCTTCCACGGGCGACATCACTGACGGGTAAGTCAAGGCTTGACAGTGTTCCGTTGCTGCCCCACGATGCTGATCGCAACGCAATAGCAGCTCGACTCCCCGAAGCGACGCCCCTCCCAAGAAGAAAAAGAAGAAGCCGCTCGTGAAGAGCAAGCTCTCATTCCACAACGACGAGGAGGAAGAGGAAGAGGTCGACAGCGCTGCCGGTACCCCACGCGATTCCAGCGTTCCACGGTCCGCCTCGAGGACTCCAGTCGACGACGGCTCTGCGCCACCATCACGGCGCATCACGCCCAACCCCAACGCTCCTCCTCCACCGAAGGCGATGACAAAAGCGGCCTTGAAGGCCGAGGCAGAGGCGCGGGATGCTCTCCGCCGGGAGTTCCTGGCTATGCAGGAAGCCGTGAAGAACACCGAGATATTGATTCCTTTTATCTTCTACGATGGAACGAATATACCCGCTGGGACAGTTAAGGTCAAGAAGGGCGATCCTGTATGGCTGTTTCTCGACAGATGCCGGAAGGTTGGAGCCGAGCTTGGTGTCAGTGGCAACAGCCAAGCATCCAAAGCGCGCAAAGACAACCGGCGCGAGTGGGCTAGAATCAGTGTCGATGACTTGATGCTGGTCAAGGGCGAGGTTATTGTCCCACATGTGAGTACTTGCCATAACCTGAGTTGACATGGGGCACTGGCTGATGGATGCAGCACTACGAGCTATACTATTTTATTGCCAACAGTGTTCCCAGCTACACGAGCGCCGGTGGCCTGTTGTTCGACTATTCTAACAAGCCGCCGCCGGCTTCCCGATCTGACGATCCTCTCGCCAAGCCGAATAGCGACCAGCTGGAAGGAGCCGATAAGGATCCCACCCTGACGAAGGTGGTCGATAGACGCTGGTATGAGCGCAACAAGCACATTTTCCCTGCGAGCTTGTGGCGGGAATACGAACCTGGGCCCGAGTTCGAGGAGAGGATGCGGACGACAAGGCGCGACGCGTCCGGAAATACGTTCTTCTTCTAGAGTGCTGGCGCAGGGAAGACTGTAGACTTATCGGGGATGCGCTAGAGAGCGAGAAATGTTATGTATGCTAAGATACCCGTATAAACCCTTTGGCAGTATATAGTCGAAGTTGAGATATTGACCATTTTTGACACTTTTGTGGCTGTTCCATACTGCGTGCATTCGAATGCCTTCCTGATCTAGCTTTCGCGCAGCTTCATACAACCACTCTCAGCCTTTTTCAATCTACACGACCTAGGGAACTAGAGAATTGTCAACAATGGATTTTTACCTTCGATGCAATTCCCTCAAATGTCGAGCCCAGCTGAAAGAGAGAGCAGTCGTCACGACCTGCTCGTAAGTCCAACAGCAGTTTCAACTTTCCACCACCTCCGTCACTGACCCTTTCGGAGACACATCTTCTGTCTCCAATGTGCCAGCAATCTAGGTCTTTCACATCCAACGTCAGTCGACCGTCGTTGCCCAGCCTGCCAAACCATCCTCGTCAATCCAGACGACGCGGTCGCCACCATCCTCAACCCGTCCGAAGACTACAAGACGAGCGTGCTCAGCGGACTGGACCCGAACACGATCATGGAATGCGCCGGCCGGGCCCTGCTGTTCTGGACGTACCAGACCACTCAGGAAGTGTGCGCGTTCTTCCTCGCCCCAGCACGTAAGAACCTCCTCGAGACCCCATCACTAACAGACCACTCTTCCAGCTTCTACCAAGAGTTCCTCGGAAAGACCCTCACCGAGAAATACACCAACCTCAACACCCAGATGGACAAGGTCATCCACAACGCCAACTCGGAGATCTCTGCCCTACAAGCACGAATATCAGGTGAGCCACTCCCAATTTCAATTCCAAGCCACCACCTCCCGCCTCAGCTCCCAAACTCCCAGCACCCAGCACCCAGCACCCAGCACCCTTCAAGACCAAAACCAGATACCAACACCTCACCCTTGGCAACCAGACATGCAAACGACGCAAGACCAACTCCGCAAAAAGAACCAAGAGCTCGTCGACATGTACCGCGAGAAATGCACCCGCTTCACGCAGATCACCAACCTGTACAACTTGTTGAAATCGCGCGCCATGAAGTCGCAGATGCAGACCGCAGCGACGGACTCGGTCCATCAGACGCTGAACTCGCTGCCTCTGCCTCTTCCTCCTCTGCCGCAGTCACAGTCACACCAGAGTAACGTACTGCCACCGTCGCCATTCGCTCTTACAAGTTCTGGTCCCCCAGCAGCAGCAGCAGCAGCAGCAGCAGGTGCAGGTGCAGCGAGTCTCCCAATGCACATGCACATGCACATGCCCACGCACACGCACACGACACTGGGAGCCTCGATGCCCCCGCAGACGCCCCTGCACCGGTACCCGGTCGACCGTGAGGGCGTGGAACAGCTGCACCGCCACCAACGCAGCGGAACGGGGAGCTCGAAGGGGGCGGCGACGCAGATCCAGAAACAGAAACAGAAACAGAACGCGGATGCGGTGGCTATGCCTCCTCCGCTGCCGCCGGGGCGGTTACAGGGGGATCCGCGACATCGTACGGTCATGCCGAGATCCCACTTCTCCCGAGAAAGAAGATACTGATTTTGAGATTTCCAGGCGGGACGAGTACCCAGCACCGCACCCGGCTAGGTGGTGGAAGTGGAGGCGGCGGCTCCAGCACGCGCCCAACGACCGGATCCTCGACGCTCCCGCACGACAGCGTGCTGCTCGCGCGGTTCGGAGCCGACGGCGGACCGAATAATCCTTTTCTTGTCGGTGGCCCTGCAGCCAGGGACAGGGACAGGGACGGGGACCTACTGTCCAAAGCCGACGGAGGACATCTGCGCCATGCCGGCTACCCCGGGGAGCCTCCGAGCGTGAGGCCATACTTCGACAGTACGGGGCTGTAGCCCTACACTTGCATTACAGGAGCCCCCTCTTGGAGAATCGGTAGCGTAGCTAAGTAAGGGGTGGTGGGGGGTGGAAACAAGGTTTGGTGTGGTGGGACCAGATTTCCCTGGGTTGTCTATTGTCTATTGCAAGTTGCTTTGGTGTGTGTGACGCATGCAGGCTGATTTAGGACTTACGTCCGGCGTTTCGGGGGAAAGGGAGGGAGGTGGTATATTGTGCTTGTGTATATATGTACCTTGCTAATTATACGGATGACCTTGTTACTCGGGGACCGTGAGCAAGGAATACGTATACATGGTACACTCGAGGAAAATGTGGGGCTGAACTGGGGTTCTCTGATCTGTAAAGCTAACGATTGTACTGTACTTGACGCATTCAACGGTTGTGTCTGTCCCATGACTCGTAATTTGATACAGTGACAGCTCATCACAGTGGCCCATGGTTCAGAGTCATTGGCAGCTCTCAAGCACTGGTTAGAGATCAATTATTACAGAAGTGATCTGATGAGTTGATCAAAGCAACTGGTTTTGAAACGGCGGATAGGGGGAATAGATTCTCGAATACCGTCTCCTTGCCTGACCCAAGAACTGTATGACCCGCATCAGAGGAGCATTTCGCGAAAATGTGACTACATCTCAGGGTCTCTTTCTTTAATATTACGCTTTAATTAGAGGTTTGAGATTGTGCAATTACATAAGTCAAGACAAGACACTATGAAGTAGATAAAGGACGGGTGTCTGACGAACGTAAGCAGCATATCAAGTTTGGCATTTGCCTGCGATTGCAGAAATCCAGCTAACAATAGTATCAGGACATGCTAGAATCAACAATGACTGAACGTTAGAGAAGTCCGAAAGAGAGTCACAGAAAGCGATGAAAGATGTCACAGATCTCAGGATGTTCTTGTGTAGCAAAAGATCTCCAGTAGAGCTGTATGCTGGGTTGCTGTGGCATATGAGAACATACACGATCTTGTACGTCTTTGCAAGCAAGAAGACCCTTTCGCGAAGAGGCGAGTTGATGTTGCCGCTACTGTCTGGTATGCTAGATCTATGTCCTGGTAAGAACAGCTGCGTGGTGGCTTGGGTGTTCGTTAGCATGAGTGCCGTTGTGGCAGCTATAGTTATGTCGGCGTGTTCGAAAGAGTGTCCAGCACTCGACGCAGTGGCTGATGTATCTTCTTCAGGATCAATATAGTCTATTGAGTTGACAAGATCGCTCGCTTCGAGGTGACGCACAACATCTGGGTGACTTCTGAGAAGCCGGGTTGATAGCGTCAATCTCAAGCCACCCGACAGATTTTGTGGAGCAAGAGGGACTTGCTGAGCGAGATCCAAGGAAATGGACGCCTTTTCCTCGGGCAGTGGAGTGACCGGTGCTGTTTCCCCAACCTTTGCTTTGAGGGCTGGCGAGCCGAAATTGGGAATTTGCGTCACGGACTTTTTCGTATTAAGTCCCCTGACCTGCATAAACGAGACCAAGGAGCCTAGGTTCGAGGAGGCCACTAAATGCAGAGTCTCAGGTCTCTTAATGCCTGAAGACAGCTTATTATGCCTTCCCAATGAAGATCTCCTTTTTGAGGGCGTTCCACCATTACTGGATTTACGCTTTTGTGGTAGACATGAGCTCTTGCGGAGCGATGTGTGGCCGAAAGGAGTTTCGACATCACGGATGGGTATGTAGTCACTGTGTATCTCATGGCGCTCCGATAAATTCTCTGGCATTTTTGTGACCTCTATCCTCATATGATCGCTTCTTTCCCTTGCATAGACAGGGCTTTTCGCCAACGACGTGGACTGCTCTTCAGTTGTCGAACCTAGCCCTTGCGAGTTCGACTGCACTTGTCGTATATGATTGCAGTCTGTACGCGTATTCTGGGGTTGGACTCTGAGCTCTTGAGCAAAGACGTCGCTAGCTGGAGGAGTATTGACGGGATAGACCTTTTCTTTATAAGGGAGGCAGTCAGATGTAGCAATGTTATCAGTTATCTCAGTATACGTCACTTGAGAGATGCCATGGGTGGACTCCCCATCGCTTGTCGAGAGCTGACTGGCATAGGAAGAAACTTCGCGGTCCTGCAGTGACTTATGTTGAGTCACCACACAGTCAGACAAATCGATATCATCCTCAATAGGCGGTGAGGTGTGAGACTGGTGCAAGTGTGGTTGATCAGATTCCTTTCGCACATTCGGGGTTCTATCTAGCAGGTTATGTGTTGAATCGTTGACCCTCGCATCCACGTTCCAAGGGTCCTCCGAGGCTCCGTCATCATTTTCTGCAGGTATGCTGAAGCTGAAATGACTCTCGTTAGCGAAGGGGAACGATTCCTCCCCATCAGAGAACTGGTCATCGTTGACAGGGAGAAGGTCGGGGGAGTTTGAACGTGAACGTGAAGCTTGAACCTGTAGAAGTCAGCACGCAACAAATGCGAGCAAGACGAGAGACATAGACCCGCCTCCTTTAAGCCCAATTCATTCCACAATAAATTTTCGAGGTCCTTAAAGCGAAGATCAAAGCTCTTTCGAGCCTCCTGTATCAAACGCAATGCACCCTTCGAACAGTCAAGCTTCTCCTCTCGGATGTTCTCACCGGAGGTGTCTATCCCATGTACCAAGCCCCTCGCTAAAACCACATCGCGATCGCTGATTTCGTCCTCCAATGGACTGAGATGGAAATCGTCGAGACCGTAACAGACAGGTCTTGCACCAATAGGTGGACCTTTTTCCTCGTCATTGGTAAAGATTGGTGTCTCCACTTTCAGCTTATCGTAACGATCCCATGACGGCAGGATACTCTCCCAGTGACTTTCGATGTCGGTCGGTTCGATCTTTCGAAGAGCGGATGCAAGGAAAAATGCGCTTTCTTTCTTAAGGTCTAGCTTCTCATGATAGAGGCTTTGTTCGAGAGATGTGTGCACCTTGTCAAGGTGGTCTCGGAACTGGGAAAGGGAGTTTGAGAGAAGATCAGGAATTGCGACACAGCTCTCCTGTACATGCTCGAGGGGATCCACGTCTGTATAGCTACTTGCTATTCCATGAAACCGGGCATACTCTAGCACTGCAGAGTTTATGGAATGGGCCATGAGGACGAACAGTCAAAAGTCAATGGTAATGATTGAATTAGTTGGTATCAGTAGATGGTTGAGGAAGGAAGGAGGTGGTCCCTGGCCACGTGCCCCGCAAACGCTCATAGTAAATGACAAGAGCCCATGTAACGCTCCGGCTTCAATGACATGATAAACTCGCTGGATTCTGTGGATCAAGACGCTAGAACTGCAATGACCCCAGTCTTCAAGTCTGCATAAAGAGCCCGCTCTTGCAGTCTTTGTCTGACAATAAAAAATAGCAAACGAAGTAACGCCAGATCTCCACAATATTCATAAATTGAAAGCACCTTCAATGATAACCTTCTTCAGTCGTTGTAGTTGGACTGACGGGATCCATCCTTGTTGACAGGAGGGAGGTTGTAACGAGCGATGTACTCCTCCTCCTGCGATCTCCCTGCTGGGTCCAACACCGGGCGCTCAGCATGGGATGCAACTCGGACTGCATGACGACGGTGAGGAGCAAACCCATAAGAGGCTGAATGATTCTGTCGAGATCATTAGCAATTTGGTAGTTATCAAGCCAGGAAAGCGGCTACTTACTGTTGTTCGGTTGTCCCAAATGGCCACGTCATTCTTGTTCCATTGGAAGCGAGCGTGCATCTCTTGTGTTGTTGCAATTACTTCGGTGAGGTAGCGGATGATAGCATCACTTTCTGTCTTGGGGATCCCGACAATCTTCGTCACGAAGCCAGGGTTGAAGAAGAGACTGTTCCAACCAGTGACAGGGTTGGTCCTGATCAATGGATGCTCTGTTGTGACAGGCTCACGACGAACCGTTCGCCCAAGGGCTCTGGAGTCGGAGGCCTGCATTTCGGCAGAGTGAAGAGCTGTCAAGCCCTTGAGATATGTTTGCATATGAGATGAAAGTGCATCGTATGCTGCATATTGAGATGTCCACAGGGTATCTCCACCGCCTCCCCGAGGGGGGCCAGTAAGAACCTTGAGGGATGTGTACGAGGGGGGTTGAACTTCATAGGTCACCTGTTACCAGTCAGTAGGCTGCGACTGATACGCAAAGGCAATGCATGCCACATACATCTGAGTGCCACAGAAAGCTAGGCGTGAACATTGCCCGTTGGTCGGCAGCATTATCGCCTGCATAGACGACATGAATATCCTCCAATCCTTCCTTTCTAGGAACGGCTGTGGTGGCATGCTGGTAGTAATCATTAGATCGATGAGCTTCAAGACACCATGAGAAATTGGCTTCATACCTTGTGCAATTTGCCGAAATGCCTGCCCAGGTCACGCTGGGCGTCAATATCCAGGTCATCCTGATCACGGAAGAAGACCACGCCACGGACAGCAACCAAACGGGCGAGATCATCCTTCTGAGCGTCTGTCAATTTGGCAAGATTGACACCATGAACTTCCGTGCCGATCTTTGGAGTGTAGTCAAAAACATCTGTCGCATCTTGGAGAAGGTTCCGGAAATCGGGGTCTCCATGAAGCCCTCTGTCCTCATGAGGGATCTCTTCTAATGGTGCCCAGTGAAGGTCTGGAAAGGCCGGTAGCAAGTCTTGGTACGTATAATTTTCGTGGTTTTCCACAGTCGTCCTTCCCGGCTGGTAGCCGAATTTGTTGCCGGCGATGTGCTGCTTCTTGGTGATAGAGATGGATCTGAGATCCTGGGAGGGAAGAGGGTCCACCAACGAGGGCGCCATGGTTAAGGATAGAAAGAAAATGAACTCTATAGCAGAAATGCAACTGAGAATTTAAGCATGTGTAGATGCACAAGGAGAAGATGGTAGTATTGCAAAGAACTTATTATGGAATACAGGTGAGGTTAGGAGTTGTTGCTCATATATAGGCATGAGGCAGGAGCAGGCTGGTTCCCCAACCTAATTGTCAGCAGACGTGCTGGGAGCAGTAAGACTCATCTCCAAACCGGGCTGATGTTACGGACAATGTATTGCACCATCGATGGGCAAAATCACCCAAGAGGCCGGATACCGCAGGATAGCTAGCCCTGAAGCAACCATGGGACGACGGGTTCCAGAAAACATTCCGAAGCCCCCGGGCGCCACAGATTCGGCGCCGATCGCGTCATCGCGACTGGAAACTGTGGGGAAGGACATCGACCCAGCTTGCGACTGGATAGATGGAATTGTCCGCCATCATACCTCACAAGTGAATCTGAGAGAGCAGATGGCAAGTACATGCGCTGCGTCGTCAATTGGCAGCGTCACACCGACATTTGGAGACGTGGACATGGTTTCATGTTGTGGTGGTGGTAGAAGCAGGAAGCTGTTCTAGATTCAGGGGGGCGGCGCTCGGGGGTTCTTCCGCCTCGCAGATCATAGATCCTAGTGCTGGTGCTGGGGTGAGTCAACAGGCGATCATTTGGATGGGGTATCGAGATAAAGGGATGCAACCAATTCTCAGAACTCACAGTCGGTATCACAAGCTAGCGGAGAAGTAGTATCGTCGCATATGTCATGATGACACCCCAGCAAAGCCGACTGATGCCGAGTGAGTAAACCCAGTCCGACTGATTGATAAGACGGGGAATGAGGCTAAGAAGGTGGATCCGGGGATGAGGTGCGATCACGCCAGTTTGCCGCCCTCTTGCGTTTTCCCCCTTACCGCCCGGCCTTAACTTGACCTCCGTCGGACCTCATCTTTTCGATATTACTATCAATACTCTGTTCTCCAGATAGCAATTTCCATTAGGCTTATACAGGGCCCAGTTATTCTTGATAAGACACGTAGTCTATTCTTTCCATTCAGCCACCAGATCCTTCGAGTCCAGAGATCATCAATCTTGAATTTATATTGCATTCCATTATGATATGCCGGCGGCGCCCCTAGCCCTGTATTGCATCACACAAAGAACTCCTCATTAAAACCATGCTAACCCAAACAGACAAAAGTGCCATGATCCCTTGCTTTTCACCGTCGCCAAGAACATTATATTGTACAATGAGAAAAACAAAGACTCAGCGCCGACAGAGCAAGTACGTATCAAGTAGAACCCGTCCTTCAGAGGTTGAGCCTGCCATCAGCGGCCGAAGGAGGACCCAGGACAACTTCCTGCACCTGCTCGGTCACGCCGCCGAGGCGCCCGGCAACACCTAAGATACCAGCTTCCACGTCGCTAAGCACGGTAGCAAGATCGTTGACTATGGACTTGGGGGTTCCAGACGCCGGTCCATCACGACTCCGCGCCGCCACAAAGTCATGAATCTGTCGTTCCAGAGTAGACTCAACTCCGTGAAGGTGGTCCTCGATCTCCTTCAGACTTTGAGTGTAGCGCTCGAGCACAACTCCCATCTCATCCGAACGCTGGGAGAAGTAATCCACCAAGTTGACAGGTACCCCGTTCACGCTGGTGGCAGTGGCAGGATCGCTCTCAACATCATCGGGAAGGGCCAGGGTGTTCTTACGCGTCGAGCGAAGTGTCTGTGCATCGGTCTTCTGGTTCTGAGACGTCCACCAACCAGCTCCACCGGTAGACTGATATTGTAGGGGTAGTTTCAGGGTGTCGATGGCGCGGAATGCAACCTGGGCCTCGGCCGCATCGCGCGATACAAGATTGCGCAGCTGATCAATCTCCCTGGCATCGTTTTCCAGGGCATGTTGCATGGTCTCAAGCTTCCCTTGAACGAAGTCCACGTCGTGTGGTATGCTTTGTCCCTGTGTCTCGATTGTAGGAATCATGTTCGAGACTTCATTGCATAATTTGATCTGACCCAGCACGTAATTATCGAACCTCTCAAGCTCCGCCTTGATCTCATCCGCACAACTCTCATACTTGGTTGTGGGGAGGATGTTGCTGACGTCGATCTTGACGCCGGGAATTACGGTGGTGCCACCGAGCTGCGCGGGTTGTTGTGCAGTGGTGCTCTGGTTGCCAAACAGACCAAGTGTAGGTCTCTGAGCTTGAGTTTGCTGTGCATTGTTCTGAGTGGCGCCACCGCTATAACAGGCTTTCTGTTAGGATGCATCACCATCTTAGATTATGGAGAAGGTAGGTAGATACTCACAATAGACCTCCTCCGGTGGTAGCAGTGTTGGTTGTAGTGCCGCCGAAGAGCGGCTTGGATTGAGCTTGAGTGGTCGCAGCACCGCCTAGACCACCAAACAACCCCCCGCCAGTAGTTCCAGTTTGCGCAGTGTTGGTAGTGCCCGCGGTTCCTCCAAAGAGTCCACCGGTTTGTGGCTGAGATGTGGTGGCTGTCGTGTTGCCAAATAAGCCGCCGCCGGTGGTGGCATTGTTCGTTTGCTGCTGGCCGCCAAACAGATTCGATCCGGACGGTTGCGATTGCTGTGTAGTGCCACCTCCCAAGTTCCCAAAGAGTCCCCCGGCTGGATTTGGCTGCGCTGTGTTGTTCGCTCCCAGGTTGCCGAAGAGGCCACCGGAAGTGCTCGTGGTTGCTGGTGTGGTCGCAGAGCTAGTTTGTGTGTTGGTGCCGCCGCCACTATTTGTGCAATTTTCGGTTAGCTCATCTGAGTCAGGTTTCGCGACCATAGTGAAATGAATGATTGAAGCAACTGATTTTTCGAGTTGCAAATGTATTCGCGATCAGACGTAGGCAGGAACAACGCGCAGTTGGATGGAAGGTTCTTACAAGAGGTTGGATGAACCTGTGTTGAGGGACAGGCCTGTGCCAGTGCCTGCAGGCTTTGCGGAGAACATTGCGCACTGTGAGGGGGGCAGCAAAGACCGGAATGTCAAGTGCTCAAGCACAAATGATCCACAAACAAAGAAAATGGCGCTTTGTACCTGCCAATCTGCGCCGCAATGGATGGGTAGTGATGGATTGGTGAGTGGAAAACAATCAAGTCAGCGATGGTTGCTCGGGAGCTAACCTCACTTCCGGCAAGTTTCTCCGGGGTCCCGTGACCCTGACGTGCCCCAGCTCACCATTGGCTTATCGGAATCTGATAACCATATCACATCTGAAGGACCTCACTTTTACTATCGACCTAGTAGTCTGAGGTACTGACATTGATACATAGTACAAGCTTCAGGA